ACCACTCGAGCCCAGTCAACTTGCGATAGGTCGTTTATGTAGTTTTCTTCTGAAAAAACGAGAATAGTCGCGGATCAGATGACTGCCAATTTGTCCTTTTTCTATAACTGATCGTGTAATACAAAATTGCGTAAAGTGATCGCTTATGTCAGAGATTATGTTGCCGCTAATAATTTCTTCTTGCCCATTATTGGAAATCTCTTAGCCATTATCTTTGTTTTAAAGCTAACAGAATCCTATGATTCTCAGAATGCTGTTATTTAGAGCGAGTTATAAAAATTCGAAAATTTTAACTAGTTCTGCTATTTGACATTTGACAGTGACATCTCCCTTTTGGTCCACACCTTATGCCGAAATTTTACCATTCAAATCTCCGATATCATTGCTAATGTCACAAGTGCCAATGCCGGATTTCAACCCGCCTTACTCTCAACGAAAATGTCTCCTCTGGAGACAATTTCTACAAAAGCGAGTCACAACGATTGGCGAGGTTGGACGTAATGCCGTGTAAAGAGCGCTATAATCTTGGATTATTAAAAAAATACGTTAAGAACTTCTCAAAAATGCGCTGAAAGATTACTTGAGATTTGTGTTTTTTTAAAGAGCATTTCCGCGTGTTTGTTATACATGAAATGTTCATTTCGCCGATTTCATTTAGGTAATGAAGAGTGGAAAGATGCACAAAGCGCAGGAAAGACAACAGGAGTGGATAAAATCCTCTTTGAAAGGGATACAGATTGTGTATTTCGTTATTTCGGCTACGTAAAGATTTTAGAAGTTCAAAAACAATTCTTACCCAAATGGAAATAAGCTGCTGCCCTCAGGCTGTTGCTGTAAAGCTTGGCGTTCAGCCGTATATCTTTGCAGTTCACTTGAAGTCCTTCCGTGTAGAAGTTTATCGCCTCCTCAGCTTCTCCTTGTCTGTATTCGTTGTTATCTTTTTCGAGACATTATTCTTTTGCTCTCGCTGAAAACATATCAGCTTAGTGTTAATGAGTTAGTAATGAATAAAGCGACCCTGGACGGATAATGCAAAGTTTTGCTTAACAAAGTAGCAAGTAGGTCATAAAGAAACTTAAAATTCTGTCAAAATAAAAGGAATTTCAGAAACGATTATTCGTGCATTTAATTTACTTAGTAAAATATACTTAGTAAATGGGAGTCTTAACTGTAGCGGATCTACTGAGTTTAATTCAGTCGATTGACATTTAGTGAATCTTTCACAGGAACCTCTTCTACACTATTAACTGAGGATTAGCTCGATTAGAAGGTATAAGTGGAGTCTGATAAAAACATCGTCCTTCCACTTTGTAATTTGAATGTATCAACAAAGTTGAAATGGTAAATTGGCCCCCGTTACGGTTATAAAAGCTGACGTTTCGAGCGTTAGCCCTTTGTCGGAGCGAATAGGGGAATTGTGGGTTGTGTGTGCTTTTAAAGGCAGAAAATGGAGCTACGTGATTGGTGGGAACATGGCAACGAGAAAAACGTTGCCATGTTCCCACCAATCACGTAGCTCCATTTTCTGCCTTTAAAAGCACACACAACCCACAATTCCCCTATTCGCTCCGACAAAGGGCTAACGCTCGAAACGTCAGCTTTTATAACCGTAACGGGGGCCAATTTACCATTTCAACTTTGTTGATACATTCAAATTACAAAGTGGAAGGACGATGTTTTTATCAGACTCCACTTATACCTTCTAATCGAGCTAATCCTCAGTTAATAGTGTAGAAGAGGTTCCTGTGAAAGATTCACTAAATGTCAATCGACTGAATTAAACTCAGTAGATCCGCTACAGTTAAGACTCCCATTTACTAAGTATATTTTACTAAGTAAATTAAATGCACGAATAATCGTTTCTGAAATTCCTTTTATTTTGACAGAATTTTAAGTTTCTTTATGACCTACTTGCTACTTTGTTAAGCAAAACTTTGCATTATCCGTCCAGGGTCGCTTTATTCATTACTAACTCATTAACACTAAGCTGATATGTTTTCAGCGAGAGCAAAAGAATAATGTCTCGAAAAAGATAACAACGAATACAGACAAGGAGAAGCTGAGGAGGCGATAAACTTCTACACGGAAGGACTTCAAGTGAACTGCAAAGATATACGGCTGAACGCCAAGCTTTACAGCAACAGCCTGAGGGCAGCAGCTTATTTCCATTTGGGTAAGAATTGTTTTTGAACTTCTAAAATCTTTACGTAGCCGAAATAACGAAATACACAATCTGTATCCCTTTCAAAGAGGATTTTATCCACTCCTGTTGTCTTTCCTGCGCTTTGTGCATCTTTCCACTCTTCATTACCTAAATGAAATCGGCGAAATGAACATTTCATGTATAACAAACACGCGGAAATGCTCTTTAAAAAAACCCAAATCTCAAGTAATCTTTCAGCGCATTTTTGAGAAGTTCTTAACGTATTTTTTTAATAATCCAAGATTATAGCGCTCTTTACACGGCATTACGTCCAACCTCGCCAATCGTTGTGACTCGCTTTTGTAGAAATTGTCTCCAGAGGAGACATTTTCGTTGAGAGTAAGGCGGGTTGAAATCCGGCATTGGCACTTGTGACATTAGCAATGATATCGGAGATTTGAATGGTAAAATTTCGGCATAAGGTGTGGACCAAAAGGGAGATGTCACTGTCAAATGTCAAATAGCAGAACTAGTTAAAATTTTCGAATTTTTATAACTCGCTCTAAATAACAGCATTCTGAGAATCATAGGATTCTGTTAGCTTTAAAACAAAGATAATGGCTAAGAGATTTCCAATAATGGGCAAGAAGAAATTATTAGCGGAAACATAATCTCTGACATAAGCGATCACTTTACGCAATTTTGTATTACACGATCAGTTATAGAAAAAGGACAAATTGGCAGTCATCTGATCCGCGACTATTCTCGTTTTTTCAGAAGAAAACTACATAAACGACCTATCGCAAGTTGACTGGGCTCGAGTGGTCCCGAAGTCGGAACAGACGTCGATAAACTCTTCTCTAGGTTGTACAACAAATTGAATAAACTAATGAATAAACATGTCCCTCTTAAACCAATCTCAAAACGTAAGTTTAAAATCTTTTCAAAACCATGGATAACTAGAGGGATAAGGAAATCTATCAGAATAAAGAATAAACTTCTATCATTAGGAAATAAAGATCAATACAAATACTACCGAAATAAAATTCACAATACGGTTTTCGTAAGCGATGTTCCACTGAGCATGCGATCCTCGATATAGTCAACAAAATCCAGGCTAACATGGATCTGGGCATGTTCTCTTGTGGAATTTTTAATGATTTACAAAAAGCATTCGACACGGTTGACCACTCGATCCTGTTACATAAACTCAATCACTATGGAATTCGTGGAGTTGTAAACGACTGGTTTTCATCGTACTTGTCTGGAAGGGTCCAAACCACACAAATAGGATCCTACATATCCCAAAAAGAAAAAAACCTGTGTGGGGTCCCACAGGGCTCCGTGTTGGGGCCATTGCTGTTTCTTATTTATATCAATGACATTTACAAAGCGTCAGATACATTAGCATTTTATTTATTCGCTGACGATACAAATCTGCTATTTTCCGACAGAAACCGTAAATCTCTCGAAACAGTGGTGAATATGGAACTAATGAATGTTTATGATTGGCTAGCCTCAAATAAACTCTCTTTAAATGTACAGAAAACCAATTTTATCATCTTCCATCCCAGCCAGAAGCGACTTAATTATCAAGTAAATCTGAAAATATATGATAATAATAGAAAACATTTCATTAACCTGGAGCGTAAAGACTGTGTGAAATATTTAGGTGTACTTATTGACAGTAACCTTACCTGGAAACATCATATCAGTCATATTGCATCAAAAATAAGTAAAGGCATTGGTATAATCTGTAGACTAAGGCATCTTGTACCATATTCGACATTACTTAATATATATAGATCACTCATTTATCCTTATTTATCATATGGCCTTGTAGCTTGGGGCCAAGCAGCTAAGTCTCATATGGAAACAATATTGATACGCCAGAAAAGGGTTGTGCGATTAATAACTTTGCCAACTATAATTCACACACCATCCCTTATTTTATATCAGCTAATATTATGCCAATTAGTATGCTTTACGTTAAACTCTCTTCTTTCTTAATGCATGATGTCCATAACAATTTAACCCCCCCCCCTTTTCTTTCTGGTTTGTTCACTCTTTCCCACCTAATACACAATCATAATACCCGATCTTCATCTGCCGGTAACTATTACATAAACTATTCTGGGCTAAATCAGCATAAAAACTCATTCTCAAGGATTGGTTGTGAAGTTTGGAATAGCATTCCAGGAAACTTAAGGAATCTTCCAAAAGATCTTTTCAAGAAAAAGCTAACAACAATATTATTTCAAAATCTTCAAGTTCAAGATAGTTATGTTGACATAGAACGAATTATCAATGATGTGTCAAAAGTTAAATCCAGTTAATAGTAGTGTATAACTTATGTATTCTTCTATTTATTGTCATGTGTTTCTATTTCTGTATTTTTATCTCATACTGTCATTTCTTCTTTTAAATTAATGATTTAATATTTAATTTCTGTTGTTTCTTGTATATTTATTGAATCTTTTGTTGAACCGAAATTTATGTAAGATGTTTTAGCGTCCACACACTGCCCGCCGAGACTAACTATGCTATTTGTGGGTAGTGGTTGATTATGTTTAGTTGAGTTAAGTTAACTTAAGTTTTTTTTTTAAAGTTAAAATCTCACAAAGAAAGAGCAAATCTCACAAAGAAAGAGCATTAGTTTTACATCATAGAGATGTAAATATTAGTTACATGATATATTTTTCTTTGCTTTATATCTGTAGTTTCTATTTTACCAATAAAACATATGCGATAAAACACATGCATGCATGCATGCAGATTTCCTCAGCTACGAACTGAAAATTTTTCAAACGGCAGACGTTGATGTTGAAGCTTCGAGGAGATAGACGCATCAAAGAGTCATACAGTTAAAGATAAACAGAAGCTATAAAAAGCAAAGTTTCCAAATCCAGATCATCTGTTTATCTTTATTTAGATGTTCAAGGTCGCAAAGAACACCAAGAAATGTTTTTGTTCTTATCACAAAGCATATCGTTTCCTAACGAAAATTTTTAGTTAAAAGTTTGGAATATCGTAGTCAGAGAATGTGGATATGAATCGGCTTTCTCTCTCTACTCTCTCGCCCACGCAGCACCATAGTTTCTTTACAAACTTACCCCCTTATTCGTGTGCCCACTCATTGGTTTTTGTTTTTGATGCATTGCAACGAGTGAATAAAAATCGTTCAAGCGGTTACCATGGAATAACCTCTATTCATAATGGTAATTGAACTAAGTGGAGTGCAATTTGGGCTGAAATCATAATACGCGTGATTTCAGACCAAAATTGCACGACACGAGGTTCAATTACCACTTTATTACATCCATTTTGAAATAGCCCAAATGCAGGACTTGGTCAATTCAAATATAGGTCACTTTAAACAAGCCTTGAAATCTGATTGGTTGTTTGTTTTAAGTGTAACTTCCTCATTGGCTGGAAAAAAGATGCGATTTAAGGCAAAAAATAGTGCGATTCGTGAATAAATCGCACCAATTAGAGCCAATCAGATTACAGGGACCACCAGTGATTTTAAAATGGATGTAATAAATTTAGATAATCACATGATTTCGAGTGCAATTTGAGATAAATTATCGCAAGTTAAGCTTTCAAAGGCTGTCCAAATTGCACGAGCGCCTAGGGCGAGTGCAATTTGCTGTCGTTAAAATTTACGAGTCGCCTGTAATCAATGTTTAATGTCTTTACGTGGGGCATGGTTACCCATATTGCCCGAGCCAGAGGCTCATGTATGAAACGCAAGACAACAACCCATCCATCCCACCCCAGGGGAGGACATCCATCACACAGTAATCTCGTGCGTGGGAAATTAACGTCTCCTACCCCTAACCCTGCAGGAGACGGGACCTCCATTTATTCGTCCCTATCCGAGAAGACTAGAATATCTAAACCATTTCTTGATGTTATAGAAAGGCAGCATATTCTTCTCAATTATTTTAAGACCCTAAGTGTTGGTCAGGCTGGGGTTTGAACCCTCGACATCCCGCACATCAGTCCAGCGCTCTATCAATTGAGCTAACCAGGAGGCGGTCAAGTGCTAATTTATTCCAAATTGCACGCAAGCAAAAATATGACTCTGTTTCCCTTTTTAGTTGTCCTTTAGTGGGGCTTTATCCTCAATAATTTGCTTCAAACTTTTGAAACCTCTCTAGAGAATAATTGAGTGCTTGTACCTTATCTCTGTTACACATCGATCGACAGCAGTAACCATCACACGAAAGTTATCACGCTCGTAATCTCTCCCGTCTTTCGTGCAAAATGTTGCGTAAAACACATCGATAATTTTATGAACCCATGTTTATCGACCTGAAATGCAACAAATTTGAAATACAAGTTGGCGATTACTTAAATCCTATGGAAAATTCAGCTTTCCAGTTCTCAGAAAACCCTGTTTTAATGAACATGTTTTGCTAGTGTGAATGGGGTATAAGTCGATTTTCTGGAGACATTTAGATGTTGATGGTCCTTGCGACGCTTATTACCCTCTCAGGATCGGAGCCAGTGCTTGTTTTGAGCTAACCTTGTTTGAAGAAGTACGGAGCTAGTCGCATATGGGATTGGCCGTATCCTTTGACGAGTGTTTTAAATGCGATACGTAAGGCAGTGCAAGCAGTATTCACAACACCTTACGGAGCAGTTATTAGAAACTACAATATCTTCAAAGATCATTTCGATTATTCCACAAAACTTCACCGAACTAAAGGGGCCATAATATCGGTTCCGCAGAGATTAAACTGATGCATTAAATCTACAATTACAATAATAAAGTATTTAAAGAAAAAAAAAGAAATTTATAATCTATAATCTATGTACACACCAATATAAAATGTTACAAACATTACATGCCAAAAAATAAAAAAAAATTTTAAATATATAAATTACAGCTGAATTGATCTTAGCTTAGACTTAAAAAACATTAACATCATTAGCGAGCTTGACATCTTTTGGAAGTTTACACCTAAAAACTAGTTTGATGGCCTCTTTTATATTTTAGCACATCATCTTAATCAACAAAGTTAAAAAAAACCTGCAGGAGAGGGTTCAAAGCCAATACAAGTTACCTCTGAACCAGGTGTCGAGTTATGTTTAAACTTGGCAAAAAGTTGCATTTTATCCCATGAATTGTGAATCATTTTTGAAGAGGTGGGAGTGCTAAAAGCTAGAATCAAGGGTGGTCTTGAACAGGTAAAATGTCACTGTAGTGACTTACTATATAAAGAAAATGAGTTAAACTTGTTGAGCAATGATTAGCTATCTTTTTGATACCATTGTTTTAAAATCAACTGATGTTGGTCATTCTAAGGAAGCAATCGTGTAAAAAATTTACATTAACACAGGAGCTGTGACATTAACCATCAGTGGTGGATCCAGGGGGAGGGTCCAGCCCCCCCCTATCAAACCTGACGCTTACAACTTTGGGACAGGATCGTATATCACTTTTAACTGGCTGATTTTTTTAATTAATCCAAATAAAAGGTAAGCGACCAAGGAAATATAACATGCAACCCCAACTGGTGGGAGGGGGTGTGGGGGAGAACTAATTTGCCTCAAAGAGTCCAACAGTCCTTTCTGAACCAAAGTTTGGACCCCCCCAATCAAAAATTCCTGGATCCGCCTCTGACCATGGAAGTATTTCCTTGCCATTGATTGATGAGAAAAGGCAGGGTAGATTTTCAAGAAAATATCAGCCCACTTCTACCACTTCCTCAAACTCTTCCTTTGGGATACTCATTTCCCTGCTGCACACACTCTCAATTCGACTGAGATATTCTGGAAATTTAGGTAGAACCAATTCCCACACTTTTTCTGAAGGACATCTGCTAATGAAACTAAATGTCTGAGTATCTTTTGCATCTTTAGAATACTTAGTTGTAATGACAAATGCATCCTCCCTTAAAACTTCAAACTCAGCTAGAAATGAATCATACCTATTTGGAACATACTCCACTAAATCACGTGTCTGGGACATGCTGTTTAGTGAAGTCAGTGAAGCATCATTCAATAAAGTGCTGCTATCACTGGTTTCTGGTTCTTCTGTTTGCAATTTCAGTTTTATTTTTTGAAATATTGTCAGTGCCTTGCCAAGAAATTGCCTCCAAAGCTGAAACCACAAAACAAAACACCAGTCAAATGAACAGATTTCTCTGTCTAGACCTGATGGCCTCCACGCATCTGATACAGGAATTTTATAACACTGCCCCCAAACATTTGTTGTTCTCATCAGGAATGGTGGAAACACACCCTCCCTTAATTTAACCCTGACATACCGTATAATTTCAATGCAGCAGGTTACAATATCTGGAGTTCCTGAGCACAGCTTCTCGTATTCATGAAAAAGGACAGCAGTTTTAAAAACATAAGAAGACAGGCTGATGTCTTTTATTGGCCTGTTAAAATATGTGTTGTGAGTTAGAAGATACTTCAGTACCCTGTAGCATTTTTTATGGATTGGATGTAGATGGCGCACCAGAAAAACCTCAGTGGTAGCGTGGGAAATGTGGAGATAAGGTGCATGAGGGGACTGCCCTGACACTTTGCACACAAGATGAAACTTTACATTTCCTGTCATTCCAAATACATGACTGGGAAAACCATGGATATCACTTAGGGGAGTTAAGTCCTCAACTGACACTGCTGGCATAATATCAACACCAATATCTAGTGAGTAGGAAGTTGCTAATATCAAGTCTCTATCACAAAGTCCATTATATATTTCAGGACCTTCATAGTTCTCCTTAAACTTGTGCCACTCTAATTTCAAAGCTAAATAGTCTGAACCTTTAATGACCATGATACCATGTGGAGTCACAACCTTCTTCATTAACATGGCTTTCACAACCTCTTTCAGGGTCTCCACAAACTCTGCACGCAATCCTTCGTGGTGTATGCAGCAAATATCCTTATACAGTAGCCTAGTTATGTTCGCCATGGCCTTATCAAAGCCAGAGTTGAGAAAAGCCACCATGTAACCTGGTTGGCAACCTTCAGTGCCCTCAATTCGCACATTTTCATTCCTGGAGAGGAAATCAAAACACGCCATGAAGTCAAACTCGTTTGGAGAACAAATCTTAGTTCCCTCTGCAAAACTCCCCATACTTATTACTTCCTTAACATCCAGGTGAGGTTTTATTCTCCCTATGTTATCTACGACCTGTTTAACAATCTGCTGTGCTGCTCTGTGCATGTGATCCATGGTTTCAGCGCTAAAATGAAAGGAAAGGTCACACAAATTGCGTTCAACATGTTCTAGGAACATACTGAGTGCCATTTCTTATATCTGTCACTGTTCAAGAATTATTGCGTTCGACGAAGGAGAACGCTTACTATTCGCGTAACGAACATGTTTTAGTAACCGTTACGTATGCCACGCAATATTTCATTTCAATTCACGGAACATGGTTTGGACGCCATCTTGGACCGGCTTAGCTTAGCCTCGATCTCGTATTCGTTAGTTTTTCTCGCCCGGGGCCGGGGGCTGGTATGTATTTTGTTCGCAGATGAAACATTTTGCGATTTTCTGTTTCCTAGAGGTTTGTTTATAGTTTTTCTCGCAGTTTTCTATTAAGTTCTTTAAATAGGAAAATTTCCATTCTAAGATAATCGGATAGGTAGATGTTATGTTAACAATGTGCTCTGCACACTGTATTTGTTTTTAAGACTTCGAGCAAGATCAGCCACTGTATTTTATTTTTTTTATATGAATTCAAGCAAGATCAGCTTAGATCGAGCAGATTTAATTCTATTACATACTACAACTTTTCGCTTTTGAAGGCTATTTACAGCGTTGTATTTTTCTTTGGTTGTCACCATTCTTGAAAAATATACAAGAAGTTGAAGAGTGAAACGTTGACCTTTTTATCTCTCTGCCAAGTACGTGAGTCGTGTTAGCCTAGTGTCACACAACAAGGGTTTTAAACTTTTCAGGTAACTTTAATTTTCTGTATTCCAATTTTTTAGCAAGTTTTATTGACCATCCTACAATGCAAAAGAATATCCTGAGGATCATAGTCGGTGTTTGACCTGTTGTTACTTACTAGTCTCCTTTGCAGACGTTCTTTGTGTGTCGAATTAAAAATATCTCCCCCCGGAGATATTTTAAATTCCACACACAATGAACGTCTGCAAAGGAGGCTAGTTACTTACATGTACTTAAGAGGTTCAGCCAAGGAAGTCTCACTGAGATAAGAGTTGTTACATGAAACAACAAGATCTCTGCAATGTATATGCTAGCTCTCTCCAACGATTGCCGAACAATCCAATTCGAGCCTGGAACCAAGGATACAATACTTAAAAACCACGTGAGAAGACACTTCAGGGTTCAAAGTCAGTCACAGTGTCAAAAGGGCGTTTCCGCTTTTTCCCCTTTTTAGTGCCCGTCGCGCAGGCTACACACGACTGGCAAACTAGCCGCTAATATCCATACTTTCTGAAAAATTTCGGTTTGTTTAATAAGTGGTTATGTTTCAAGTTTTTTTTTTCTTGTGGATTATGTAAAATTACGGATGAAATTGGGAGGACACAAGCTGAAACTGGTCCCGAGAATACTCTGTGCCAATGGACTGTTTTCCATATGAGAGGCGCGTCTTTTCTTTCGCCCGTTAGCTTTCTCATATACTATTTTCAAATATTTCGGGTTCTGACTCGTTTGTTCAAATTAATGGCCTTGCTATTTACTTTTATTGTAACACAGAGTTTCTAAACGGAAAAATATCCATATTTTCTACATTCTGATCTCACCACGAATTATCTGCTCATATTTGACCTCGTCTAGGGCTAGGTACGTTTTCTCTTTGCTATCGTAGTAAAACAATTGATCCTCTATAACACCAATATCAAAGCCTTCGTTTCTTAACTTGGACTTTTGAAGTTTAAAAGTTCCCGTCAAGTCGACGCTATGAACGATCCTGAGGAACATGGGGCAAGCGTAACTCGGGAGAAGCTTCTTCAAACTAGCAGCTAGCTCCGCGAGATCGACCTTGTATTCCGGATCAACTATGGCGGCCATGCCCGCACGCCCTTCAGTGCCCGGGACCAAGACGCCGTAGACAACAACATCGCGAAGGCCAAGCACTTTGCTCATCACCGACTCCACTTCGGCCGTCGATACGTTCTCGCCACGCCATCGAAACGTGTCGCCTGTGCGATCGTGAAAATAAATGTAGCCGAACTCATCTCGGAAGACTAAGTCTCCGGATAGGAATGCTGCGTCGCCTTTTCGGAAAACGTCGTGGGCAATTTTCTTTTTGGTTTCAAGTGAGTTCAGGTATCCGTCAAACCGTAAGGAAGGATCCCCTACAGGTGGCGTAATAAAATAATAATATTAAACCAAAAATTATTTTCGCTGACGCCTAACACCTCTAAGAGTGTCTGTTTTGAGAATTTTTGTGTTAAATGAAGATGATCATCTTACAATACGCTGTTCAGATAAAATTATTTGAATCCAGAAGTCACAAATAGAGACTAGAAATTCGTTGGGGCGGGAGGGGGAGTCTAGCCCGTGATCAGCAATCATTGGTCAGGTGCTCTACGACATAGTAATAAGGGGAAATGAGGAACTCATGGTGAGCTTCAGTTATATATACCAAGTTTTATACTGGGTCCACAAAGCTTGCGTACAGCTTGGATCGCAACAATAAAAGCATCTTTTGTGGCGCATGTGTAGAATTCTAAAAAACATTAAACCCGAACCCTGACATTACTTTATTAAAGGTTTGTTACCTCGGACTTGACCCGGTCCCCGTAAAGGACATCAGAAGACTTCGGTGCATAAAATGGCGATTATTTAACGATGATCACATTTCCATAAGAGCTAACGACAAAACCCTGACTTTCCCGGAAGCATTGAAACGCGAACTTCTTAAGACAGTATCATGCATGATAATAGGCTTTGCCCCCATAGGCTACTTTTGTGGTGATCACCTAATAACCACCGCTCTCCAAATAATTACCTCTTAAACTCTTTCCCACAATCTGTCCAACTTCCCCAGGCTTTGTTCTCACAGCCAGCCCATCCGGGCCGCGCACTAGTTCACCTGTGTCAGGGTCAACTTTGAAAATCACTACAGGATAGACGGACGGCAAGATCTCAGACATGAATCCACACGCACCGGGGGTACTGTCAATGTTTATCACAGAGGCTGTTCCCTCGGTGGAACCGTAAAATTCCCCGATCTCCTTTATGCTAAAACGTTCCTGGAATTCTTTCCATATCTGAGGTCGAAGGCCATTACCAATCGCCAGGCGGACAGAATGCTTGTTTTCCGAAGGACGATGAGGTTGGGACAAGAGATATCGGCACAGCTCACCAATATACTGGATGACCTGTGAGTCAAAGAATGAACACATCAGCGAGACTCACTTTCGATTTCTGCGATGTGCATCATCGAAATATATATATTCGAAAAGATAGCAAAAAAAGTCCAAAATAGAAAGAATAAACGACAAGGAGACACAGATAGCTGAAAGTGAAGAATCTTTGACACAGATTGCAAACTTGAAACTTTCAAAATTAGAACTCTTCAACTGGCCTACCTGAAACTGACCGAGATCTATCTACTCAGCTATTTAGAACGATTTTCAATCAGTGTTGAAAATCCAGGGTTGCTTTGATATTTCTTTACTTTGCAATATGATTGGTCCAAAAAACTCGCGCCAGTTTCTCGACAAATCAGATTCACAAAGTAAACCTACAGCGACTAAGTAACCTGCGCTTTCATGTGCTTATGTCAGTTTTCCTTTTTCAAAATTTGAGACCTCATTGGCTGCTTGCGATGTTTCCTTTCATCTGACTGGCTATTGTAATTGCTCTGGTTTTGGTTGTAAGACAACCAATCATAAAGCGCTCTATTTCAATTTATGGCAAAAAAATTACCTTTAAGTATAGGGAAACAGAAAAGAAGAAAAGAGATTTGGCGGAAAATTTCTTTGAAGCAATACTCCGTGGAGAATGGAAGGGAATAGGCACGAATACACTGCATTTGCAGCATTGGTTGATTAAGCGTGACATTTACAGCAGCAACAATATCCGTAACCTTAAATGCAACATATTTTTACCCCGGCGTACAAACAGCTGAAGGCAGACAAGAAATTAAGTTCAATTTTTGCCGTAGCCCTCACACATCAAGCTTCAGCTCTCTATTGCGCACGGGATATGTCACGAGTAAAGCTCTGGGGAGTCTGAGGAAGAGACTCGAGTGTAGGAAAATTCCCCGCTCATTTGTGAACCTCGGCTAATGCGTACTTTTCCAATGTTTGGCTTTTAACATTCAGAATACAGAACACACTTACCGTAGCCTTTGTTTCAACGCAGTCATCCCAGAAATTGCTGGCAGAGAATTTGCGCCTTAGCGATAAAGTACAACCAGCTATGAAACACATTCCGACACCTACTATTCCAGCTGCAGAATGATACAGCGGCATGGGGCAGTAAACTACATCATCATTGCGCACCTTTAGCGCACAGATCACCCCGAATGCATTCCTGAAGTATCTGAGAGAAAGAAAACACGGTTTCGGTTAAGCTGGCTCTTAACATTTCACATTTAATTTATTCTTAGTTGTTGATGCTTGGGGAGACTACTCAGACTGGTGGCGGGTCTCCGGTCACGAGTCTAAATCACAGGTCACGGGTCACGGCTCGTGGGTCTCGGGCCTAAAACGCAGGTCACGGGTCACGGGTCACTGGTTACAGTAGCGATAAAATTGAGTTCGATAAGGGAAACTTCAAGTTTTTCTGTTCTATGCCTTTTGCTGCCTTGTCATTCAACACCTCTAATCATACACAAAACCACCAGCTATGCAACCAGACAGCAGTGGGTCACGTCACCTAGAAGCTAAAAAAATATGTGTGACGCGTGTATGTGCACGTCGTTTATAATTGTTCTTGCAAAAACATTTCTTAGGTATACATACCTAGCAGTTGTTACCACAGCAGCTTTGGGTAATCCAGTTGTCCCTGAAGTGTATATATACAATAATACATCTGGAATGAAAATTGTAAAGGTAAATACATGAGGGAAATAATAAGAAAATGATAAGGAAAAGTTATTACTGGTATTACCAATGAGGCTGCATTCTCACTCAGTGCCTGAGCATTAGTGCTAGGGGCACTGGCACACAATGGTACTGTGTTCAGACATTGAGTATGCAATATTTGAATTTGAATTTAATTCATTCACCATGGGAATGGCAGGAGTAAGGAACAGAACTTTCGTCCCAATTGACACCGAACCCCTTTTGTACCCACTCATCCCACCCCACGGGAGGACATCCATCACACAGTAATCTCGTGCGTGGGAAATTAACGTCTCCTACCCCCAACCCTGCAGGAGACGGGACCTCCATTTATTCCTCCCCATCCGAGAAGACTAGAATATCTAACCATTTCTTGATGTTATAGAAAGGTAGCAAATTCTTCTAAATTATTTTAAGACCTTGAGTGTTGGTCCTATCTCAATCCCCAGTTCAGTGCCCAAGTACAAGGTCTTGCATGGGCACAGTTCTGGTGTGGGTACTTGAAAAAATAGTTGAATAGTTTAAAAACAAATATTACACCACAGCCAAGGGCTGAGTTGCATGATATTTTAAAATAATATACTATATTATAATAGATACAGGAGTATAATGCATGCAGGAATATAATAAAAATTATAATTGCATCAGAAACTATAAAAAGATAAAATATCACTAAGATCAAGTAATACTAGGCAGGCTTGATCAATCAAATATTCATAGTCGGCACATGCTTGGGATGAAGGACTGCTGAAAACACTTGGCGTGCATGCCAGGGAGGTCATATTTCCAAATTCTCCTTGGGTTATAATGGTTTACATGATTGGTAGGAAATAAGCGAGATAGTTTGCGGTCATTAGAGATTGCATCAAACAGTTTAGAACACTGTTCCTCGTGCCGAGACTGCAAAGTGTCAAAATTATAGCTACATCAAAAAAAGGTGTATTCACATTAGTGCCCATCAAGAATCGTGCTTAGGCACCAAGTGCAAATGCAGCCTAAGAGATGAATTCTGTCTTAGTTACAAAGACAGGAGTTTTGGTCAAAGATGAAAATACACAAGAGGCTGAACATGTAACAAGAAAAGAAACCAGACGGAGCTGAAATCCCAACCGCCAGGTCTGCAACCATGACTCTTTGACCCCTAAGAGTGTCTAGCACCTAATTTCTCCTTACTGTATCACTGCTGAATCAAATGAGAAGTTATGAGAATAAAGGAAATGATCATCAACTAAAGAAGCTTTTAAAATCTCCTTGTCAGAATGCATAGAGAACAGTAGGGAGAATATGGAAACTGATGGTTGAGTGCAGAAAGGTTAACCATTAGGTAACCACTAGGTAACCACTAGGTAACCACTAGGTAACCATATCCAGTGGCTGATCCAGACCTTGAGCTAAGGGGGGGAGGGGCACTTTTGTTTGTGTGTGTTCACCTGCCAGCTTTTTTTTCCCATGCATTTTTTTTTTACCCAAAATTAGAGGGGCCAGGCACCCCCCCCCGCCCCCCCATGCCCCTTCCCTAGATCCGCCACTGAAATCTCACAATGTTGTACTAAGAAACTGTCAAAATGTTCTTATAAAGCTGAGATTGACACTCAGTGAACCAAAAGAAGTATGGTTTCCTGTCACATACAATCCCACAATACCCATCAACTTTGGTCAACAAATTATTTTGGACAGCGTTAACTTCATATTGAAACATACAATCATTTTATATCATTACCGGCAAAACACTTAGGATGATTGACTGCAGACATCACAGGTGAACTTGCTTCAATTTTCTGGTTCAAATGAACTACAGAGGCCATAAAAGTTGATTTAACTCCTAGGGAGTAGAGCTCAACAACTTCTGGAATTTTTGTCCGGATTTCCTTCATAGGACCTTAAAAAAAATGAACATTAGGTCAATTTTGTGGATGTTTTCAACTGAATGCTAAAATAAATGACAACAATTGATTAATCTGGGAAAAAATTAACATGAAACTGCAGGGCAAAAATGACTGAGACCCTTGTGAGAAGGATGACAATTGTCTCACTGTGTTCATGAAGGCTTGAGAATAAATTCCCTAATATGATTCCAGAAAACACTACAATCAATGACGAAAGAGTTGGGGATATTTTCCTTTTCTCCTACCCTATGCAAAAATTAACTCTTCATACTAACAGATTTGCTATTTCATTCAATAAACCAAGCAGCAGACTTCTCCCTCTTAAATGTTTTACCCTGTCTCTAAAAAGAGAGATCTCAATCAAATTACCTGACAGATCTGTACCAAAGATCACTGCTCTAACAGAAGCTACAGATATACAGTGAAAAAGTGAATCTGAACGCAAGTTGGTGTTGATTAGTGCTGTAACTACACCAAGTTTGGATAATCCAAGCCAGATGCAAATAAACTCTGGGCAGTTCTCCAAGTAAAGGGCTACCACATCGCCTTTCTGGTATCCTTGTGATTTGAAAAAATTTGCAATCCTGTTCGAATATTCATCAACTTCTTTAAATGTCCATGTTCTCTTTTCAAATACAATGGCAGCCTTTTGAGGATGCTTGGACACTGTTTCCTGAAATATGTCGGAAATTGTATGTTTGTTCTTTACATGGAGTCGAGTGGTGATAAGCAGATTGGCAAAACGTGAGAAACCCCTGGTGACGATAGAAAAATCATACAGAAAGTAAGCCAACAAATGAAGTCAGTCTGATATCATGGCATATTCCCATTATAACTTAAGTATACACACAATGAGTAGCTCTATGGTTACTGCCCTCCAACATGGATTAACATCTAAATTTGAGCCATTGCCAAGTTACCGCATTGTATTCTTAAGCAGGAAATAGCACTCTCTTCACCTGGGATTACTATAATACAAATGGTTACTGGGGAGCTGTCAAGGTAACCAGCTGATAAAATACTACAAAGGGAGGAGGGTTACCCTAGTATCCTACCTATGGTGAAGTAATAATACTCTAAATCACCTTACAACATTAAAAAATGACATAAACTACTTCTGGCTTACAAGTCACAAGCTGATTTAACTGCATGTAGAGACTTAATGGGAGGGGGGGGGAGGGGACTATGTATGAAAGTTAAGTAACTATGCCATTGATTCTTCACATTAGCAAACAAATTAAAGATTGCTCCTCTTCATCTCATCATAAAAACTAATATCATCAAGTAAATGGGTCTTCTGTGGTTATGTGAACTACTTCACAAACTTTGATTATGTGGAAGTCCAGGAGAGAGTAATTTGCTTTAAAATTAATGTAAGGATGTAAAGCCCTCAAGAACCATTTCCTATTCATGCTTGTACAAAGAGTTTTCACGTTTCAAAGATAAAGTTCCCTCTTTACTTTAAAGGCTTTTAAAGACTAAGTAACAAACAGATCTATGTCATTCTGTGTTTGGCATGATTTCCGCACATATCCGTATTTCATTATTAAGACATACAGATCTTGGATAAAACAAAGTGTATTAGGCACTACAGCTTTGATTTGGAATAATATAAAAATCTTTCCTCTTGTTTTCAGAAGCTACATGTAAATGCATAGGCCAATTCAAGGGCATGATAAAAATTGACAAAATCACTTGTAAACGAAATGTAAGAGCTGAATAAGTTTGCATGACCAAAATTAAATATCACTATTAATCGATTCTTACAGGGTTCGATAAATTATGCAAACTGTTTCAGATCAGAGATGAGATAATCGTATTCAATAATCGTTTCTTCAGCAAGCGACGTGTTTTTGAGCTCAAAAGCATGTGTAAAGGAAACTAATGTTCTTAGGTGCAACTAGTAAGCCAGCAGTATCATTCTAATACTGCATCCGATACAATGTATATAAGAAGTTCATATATACTGCATCTGTTACCCGATCGATTATCGTTCTGTAGAGGCCATATTGTAAGTAGGAAAAACACATCGAACAAATACACCTACTTTATATCGCGCAAAATTGTTCGAAAGAACACTCGCGGAAAATCCTTTCCTCCAGATGCTAGAAACGCCACAAACAGAAGAACAGGAAAGACAATGAATGGAAGCCGAAAGTAAACCACGATCGTGGCAAAACTAGCCACAATTGCAGCCCAGACGTAATACATTTTCCTTGATTTGATGTGACGGACAACTCGAGTTGGAAAAGACAGCTTTTTTAGACAATCCGTCCTTCCTTGCATGAATCTGCATTCCAGAGTTAGCACAACCAGTACAGTGGTGTAGAAATACAAGTACGTTCGTTCTTAATTAAAAACATGGCGAGTGTCTTTAACGATTAATTATCGATTGACATCTTTCGGAACGATTGATTATTGACTAATAATGGTCGTTAGGTTGAGGCGCGGTAAATAGTTAGCACCCTAGAGACGCTTGCTGTCATATAAAGACCAATCAACTGTGTTTTGCTCTTGAAGTCTTATCGGTACATTCGATCGAATTAGTTCTCGCAAGAGTTTCTTTAGTGAGGTGATATCTTAAACTATGAAGGCGACGAAATCGAGAAGCCAGTTGACCAGTTTACTGATTTGATGCCAGCATTTTCCAAAGTTTGCAGGGTATCTAATTCCTGCGTCGTTTCATGTTTGTGCACAATTTGATCTGACTTTGGAGGAGATAGTCAAGGAATTGAAGCTAGTTATAAATGAGTTCGGCTTCTGTAACGAAAACTGTGGCAAAGAAATTGTAAGTATATCTTTTACCTCGTCGTTTTATTCCACAACCGTCTTATGCGGAGCTTGGAACAAGGGATTAACACACGAATGTTTGCAATAGAAACGTCTCACCAGTGCAAGATCGTTTATTTAATTTAGTGTCTTAGAAATCAATTATCTTTATCTGCATCGACGAGGAAATAATGTGGGGGGGCTTAGCTTTATTATTTACTGGAGAAGTCTTTTACGATGACCATTTTATTGAGTTTGCTTTCGATGCGGTGGCTAAAGTAACACGTTGTTTCTATTGATCCAAAAGTAGGGTTAGTGAATAGGAGTTTGAAGAGCCGTAGTATAATTACGGTAAATAGAAACTTCAAACTTCACAATCGCTTTTATTTCCGCGTGAAAGGTTTCCAATTTGCTCGATTTTAGTTTGGTTTGAAGTTTCGGTGAGCTTGGTTTCGTTATAGTTGCATTAGACTAGTTGCGCCAAACGTTTCAAATATAACTAATTTTCTATGGTCTCTGTAGTGTATATAACTTGACCGTGAGTGGACTACTTGATAAAATCTTAAGTGGAATGCTATCGTAACTTTTAAAATAGAGCAAAAAAGGAGAGGATTAAGCACATGGTTTGTATCACTTCGTAGAAATGGCATTTCATTGAGTAAAGATGACTTAACGCAGCCTGTCAAAGGCATATAACCATAATGTCAGTCCATAGATCCAAAATTGGATATCCGCATCAGTTTGATAGTAATTGGACAGTAGGTTTTTAAGTAAATATTATCATGTGACTTTGGCCAATTATTACTTTGGGAAAATCATAATGGATGGAGTGATATTTCATGGTTGGGAACAGTTTTATATTTCTTTATGAGCTGATTTTGTTTTTTGTTTTGTTTTGTTTTGTGTTTTTTTTTTATCAGAACATTTAGCTCCATTAAAAGTTGTCATGAAATTAACTTAATACAGTGGAACCTCAATTGAATGAAATGCCAAGGGACTGGGGAAAGTGGTTCATTATATCAAGGGTTCATTATATCAACGTTCTGTGGCATACATTTTACTGTAACTTCAGCTGGGCTGAAACTGAAGTATTGTTTGTTATACCAAAGACTTTGTTATAGAAAGTTTCGTTAAATTGAGCTTTCAGTCTGTAATTGTAAAGTAAGGTGAGCGCCTATTTTGTTAGGGACTTGTACAGCCATTTTTTTCCCACCAGGTGTGTGTAAGATTTTTGATATTTTAAAATTCAAAAACTTCAGTTATCATGTGCTGAAATGAATGTGTAGTTATGACATCAAACTTTTCCTAAAGCTGTTAAAAATGTTAGAACTGAACAAAGAAGGACAATGGATTAGTCTATATCTGAAATAGATGGAATGCTTTAGTTGAATTGAATAAAGGCTGATAGTTTCTAAAGAAACTGTTTAGGGCTGTGTCGGTGGGGGTATTGAAATAATTTGAATATATTAACAAAGTTGAAATGATAAATTGGCCACTGTTACGATTATAAAAGCTGAAGTTTCGAGCGTTAGCCCTTCGTCGGAGCTTTTATTATCGTAACAGTGGCCAATTTTCCATTTCAACTTTGTTGATATATTCAAATTATTTGGTTGATTTGGTTCAATCTAACTCCTCCTGAACTGTTTTTAAAAATAACTAAGTGGAAAATGTGAGTCATTTTATCAAAAGACATGTTAATATGCATAATATTGAAAATCCTCAATTTCTAGGATAGAAACATGAAAGTGGTTCCATACATTTTGAAGCAGTAATGTGAAAACATCATACAAGGTCACTTTACCAGTGTTTCTGGACCTTTTTAGCATTTATTAAAGAAAAAAAATTAAAGAGGAGAATGGAATTATTTGATGAAAACAAGTGATACTTGAACTGGTAAAAGTATGTTTTGAGTATAGAAAGATTCTAAACATCAAAAAGGAAAGATAAGTATACTTTTTTATTCTGAAATATCTTGATTCATCAATGGTTACTTCCTTTTAAATATAAATTCTGTTTTCTAAGGACTGGTTCCTTCATTTTTTTTTAAAAAAAAGACAGTACTCATCTGTGTTAAGTATGACTGATGGTTCGCTGGAGTAGTGAGATTTATGTAACCAATGTGTTTTTAATTAGAAAGAAGTACTATCATAAATGAGCCCATTTCACTTCCTTCCTGTATGTTAGCTCAAACCCACTAGTGACGAAGACAGAATTTCTTATTATAATATCAGTCAGGGCTCAACTTTAACTTTCCAACTTAGTAGCCAACTGGCTAGTGACATCTTAGATGTTATGACAATTTCAGTTTGTTCACTAGCCAAACTGGCCAGTGAAAATCAAAAAACCACTAGCCAAAACTGAATATTTCTACTAGTCTGTGGCTAGTGGGCTACTTACTGTTAGTGTTGAGCCCTGTCATTGTTAACAATACCAAGAAGACAAGTAATGAGACTAAAGAAAAATGTCTATTATATGAGATAATTAGACTTAGTTGATCTGATACCAAATTCTCCAAACTAGCAACATAAGAATTGTATAGAAGACATTAAGGAGAAATTATCACTATTGAGATCTTGAGGGTGAAATTCAACGGTGTTGATACAAATTTGGTTTTGTTTTGTTTTTTTTTTTGTTAGTCTCAGGTGAAATACACATGCACAGATCATACAAATTTATCTCAAATATCACTAGCCTGTAGAAGCAAAGAACAGGTTTATTTAATGAATATTATTATATAAATAGTAGATTAAAAAAAAAGAACTATGTCTTGGATAGTATATGATCATTATTGCACTTGTTTATATATTTAAAAGACTGTTTTCATAAATAATTGAATAATTTCCATACCTAGAGGTAATCATACAGAGGTAATTGTCATTGTTCAAGTTTGGAATTGTAAGCCAATTAGCATAAATCACATACAATTTCTGACAGTTTATTTAGAAATTTTATCAAATCAAAGCACTTCCTGAGGAAGTTCTAGGTTGCAATAGAAAAGATAGTTTTTTTTCTTGTGGGTAAGCCATGGGACCAGGCTATGCATTTCTAGAAAACATTTGTGAAATGTTGTATGATGGGCATCAGACTGACAATAAATGATTCATGTGTTAAAAAAACATTACTCAGTGTTTCCATGGTCCCATAACTTTGCCAGATTACAATATTCTGTGTAAATCCTTTGCAAGCTTTCAGTTGGACTTATTTAAGCAACAAGAGCAAGTGATCAGACTGTGACTCAACAACTTTTGTTGGTGATTTGTATTTACTGGCACTGTCTGGTGTTCAATTTGATCATGATTTCATGTGGAAGATTATCTTTGGAATAATATATGAAGAGGACACTAGAGAGGAATTTGAATCGTCAACGTTGCCGCAACTCTTGTCTGTATTTTCTAGCAGAGGACACGGACTCTGAACATGGCAGTGATAAGATGTATGATACAAAATAAGCGATTGAGATTATTTTTTCAACTGAAGTGAAAACTATTTTTGTTACTTTATTTTATGTGCATGATTCCATGTTTGCATGTTACATTTAATTTGTGCTCATTATTCATTAAGTTCTTGTGTTAAAAAGAAACATTTTACCTCTTGTACTGTTTTTTTTTTAATATTTACAAGAATATGGTTCTATCTAATAGTAAGTTGGAGATTTGTCTAATGTTATTTTGATAGTTTCAGATGAGAGAACAAGTTTCTTTTAACAGTAAATGAAACTTGTGAACACAATAAGGTCTAGTTTATTTTTTGTAGTTCAAGTTAATCTGAGATATTTGGATAATGTAAAGACATTGAGTTTGTACATAATTTGTGCTTTATGCGATGAGTGTATTTTTTGTCTGCAATAATTGTTGTTTGTTTTTGCTGTAGGAAGTACTATCTAGATGTACAAAGGAGAGAAGACGGTTTTGATTTATCAGGTCCATTTCATCCTAGAGAAGATCCAATTCCACTGAGAGCTGTAAGATATTTTTTCTTTATAAATTACTGCTTATTTCAACCATGAAATTGATAGTACAGTTCTCAATAACACTGAAAAAAAAAGTGATTGAAAATAAGAAAGATGGAACTCTTATTTTTTCTTTTAATTTTCACACTGACATCTACATACACCAGTTAAGCTCTTGACGCATTCCTGTAAAATGCCAGTTTTGAAGTCTTCTTTGCAAGAAATCCTCATATGTCACACTGAAAAGATGTTAGAATTATTGACATAAACTTAATAGGAAATATATGCAGCTTACATTTAATAACTTGGTAAGGTTTTTCTATAATTCCACAAGTTACCTTCTAGAGAAGGTGATGATGTTGCATCTGGTCACAAGGCTGGGGTCTAGCCTTACTTTTGCTCTTGGGCGACTCAGGAATTTTATTTTTTTCATACAATGGGCACCCTCGATATCACAGTTTCAGAGCACTGGCTCCATTTAATTTTCCTTTGAGCACAGCCTTGGCTTGTATTTAAATAACTTTCTCTTGATGACTTCTTCTTCAACCTTTTCATAAATCAATATAATTATTTAATGATAGAAGCATGTGAAAAACATTTTTATCACACTAAAATTGGCTAAAAACAAATGTCTAATACTTTTCCCTTAATTTGTTTTTTTTTTTTTGTGTCAAACCCAGGGTCCAACTTTGGACTATGATGGGATCCATGACAGGAGCTTAAAACACTATTTTCACAGTCCTAAAATTAGGAGACATTTACAAAACATGCACACGGTAAAGGACCAAGACTCTAGGGAAGGTTCTGTTAGGAACTTTGTGGATCAGACTATGGCATCTGTAGACTACAGACTGAAGCCTGGGCCAATCTCACCGTATGCTTTGCCGCAGACTGCTCCACAACAACCTCCTGCTCATCGACCACATGCTACAATGTCAGTTGATCAGTACATGAAGACAAAGAGGGGTGCTAAAAGAAGGTAATTGTGGTGATGAAGTTGGTTTAAGTCTTCTTCTAAATGTGGTAGCCAAGTGGTTGCTCTAACAGAGTATGGATCCAGAGGTCGGCACTTATTATAAGCTCTGTTCACGTGTTTTTGTCTTGGTCTTGAGTGAGATGCTTTCCTAACACAGTGGCTCTCTTGACTTTTGATTTAGTAGTATAATGAGTTTGATGAGTGCCTGAACCCTGTCAGGGAAACTTGACAAATTGTTAGGGGGAAAAACAATTTTCTAGTTGCTTCATTGATATGTAAAACAGTGTCCATTTATAATTTGGGGTTGATTGAGAATAAAATATCTTTAGAAGAACACAACACCACAACCATAGCCATGCCTCAACCCAAACTAGGTGTAAGTAAAGTCCCACTACCTTTATTCAACTCATACAAATGGCTCACACAGAACTGTTAATAAGCCTCCCACCAAGAAAAAATGGAGAAGATTCTAATTATCATCTTAAGTGTAAGGTGTATTTTTATGTTTTATTGTTATTTTCTTTTAGAAAAATCCCTCCAAATGTTGTTGGAAGACCAAGGAGAATAGCAAGACGATCTCCTCCCCAGCATGTCAGCCGAGATGAAAGGGAAAGACTAGTTAACATGGCAACTAAGCTGATTGTTGCCACGGTAAGGAAAAGGCATCACGTTTGCTAAACCTAAAGCTCAAAATGAAACTTAATACTCAATGTACACTGTACTCTTTGTTATTTTAGGAAACAGTAGCTCTACCTGCCACCAAGAAACAAAGCAAAGGGTTTCAGGCATCGGACAAGGTAAGCTATCCAGACCAGTGATCAGTTCCTCTTGTTTGGCCTATTTACACCTTTACTGTGTTGCAAACCAAAGCACTAGGTAAGCCCAAGAATTATTCCTCATTTCTTCATGTCTTTGTGCATCCTTCCCTTCCATCCCTTCTTCTTAGAGTTGTTCCTTCTGTCTTTCCTTCCTTTCTTTTTATTTTTCTTCTTGTATCCTGTGTACCTACACAACCTTGTATATGTAACTCGACCTTTGTATTTTCTTCACCATCTTTCTAAAGCCCTTCCTTGTGAAGTTAATATAGTTAGTGCACATCTGACTTTCACTTATCACATACGTAGGAAATACCAAGACTTCAAAGGGAGAAGCAATGCCGTGCAGCAACAGAGTCTCTCTCCTCAGGTACATGATATTGTAATTGATAAAACCTGTGATAACCTGAGGTATTTTGTTGGGACGGGACGCTCACATTGTGCAGATTAGATTCCTCACATGTAGTTTTTGTTTTAATCAGATTCTGAGAGTTCTCAAAGAATTTCAAGACGTCCTTCTCCGCCAAAGGTTAGCATTAATGAAGTATTTATTCAATTCTTTTATTTCTCAAACTGAACATCAAGTTTGCTATGCCTTACCTCATAACTAAAAAAGGCGACACTCAGTTCTTCTTTAACAAAAGACTTGCAAACCACTTGTGGATTAAGAATGATTTACTTATAATACTTTTAATGAAGTTACTGTTTTTCTGATGCATTCTCCTCAGCCCAAACCTAGATCAGCTCCACCAAGAAGACCAGAGTCAGCATTTTTCAAGTCCTCCCCAACTGGAAGAGATGGAAAGAAACTCACTAGGAGTGGTGTTCATGTTGTACTCCCGGGAGGATCACAAAGTGATGATGGTGATGAGCGACTCAGGTATATAATGTAACACCAGTAGGAATTCAATGGTGTTTTTCCAACAAAAAGTCTTTAAGGTCTACTGTGTAACTGGAGTTCACATTTGTGGACTCGTATAAAATGATAACATGCAACTTGGTCTCAGTTAAGACAGTACTAAATTTATTTTGTTATGTTCTGGATGATCTCTGGTGCATGGCATTAGAAATCTGTTCATTAAACAATGTCTGGGTTTTTTATTTAATAAATAAATACTTTTACTCAATCTTGTACATTATAGATTTATAATACTGAGAAATAATACAAATGGATGTTAAATAACTGTTGAGTTTTTTTTTTTTAGTCAGCCTCCAGTAGTACTATAGTGTGATAGTAATCTGTTAATCAAACAATATCTTGGTTTTTTTATTTAAATAATGTAATTGTAAGCTTGATCTTTATGTAACAAAGTTACCCTAATGGATTTTTTCAGATCCCTTATTGGACGCATGAATTTAGATGGACGCGGTAGCAGTATTATGGCATCACATCACCGACCAAAAGACTTGCGACCTAAGAGTGCTGGTTTACCACTGAAATCACAGGCTGTTGGACCAGATGAAGAAAGCTATGATGATGATGAACTTGAAAGTGTTGGATCTCAAAAATTATCATCAACACATACGCCAAGGATGTCATGGATGGAAATAGAACATGACATGATTGATATGTCAACACAGACAGTTGTCCATTCAGGTACAATTTGACAATTTGTAATTATGATGGGTGATAAAAGGCCATACTGATTTTTGCATGTATTAGAAATTTTTCTCTTGTACACGGAAAATTGACCATGAACTCAAAAGAAAAGACCTGAACTTGAAATAGAACAGGATGTGATCTAGCAACAATTTTTCATTGAGCAAGGAATGCAGTGAAGAACACTCATTTATGTTTCTTGCAATTGCCTGAGCTCTTCGCATTACTACCAGGAATGTGTTTGGCTAGGGTACTAATAGAAGAAAGGCTGATAGTTTCTAAAGAAACTGTTTGGGGCTGCGTCGGTGGGGGTAATGAAATAATTTGAATATATCAACAAAGTTGAAATGGTAAATTGGCCACCATAACGGTTACAAAAGCAGACGTTTCGAGCGTTAGCCCTTTGTGGGAGCGAATGACAAAGGGCTAATGCTCCAACAAAGGGCTAACGCTCAAAACGTCAGCTTTTATAATCGTAACAGTGGCCAATTTACCATTTCAACTTTGTTGATATATTCAAACTAATAGAAGAGTTTAGCTGAAGTTCAATTTACGCTTGGGTTACCCTCGCTTTCCCAAGATCTCATTGGTAATCCTCCCTACCGGTTTTCATACAATTATCACCACCATAAGTTTGGAGAATTTGGTATTGGATCAACTTATAATTATCCCCTGATTTTCTTATTTTCCTTATTCTCATTACTTTTTTGCTTGATGTTGTATTGATATTGTGAGGAGAAATTCTGTCTTGGTCACTCATAGGAGTTGAAGGGTCAAAGGAAGGATTACTTATTAGAGATAAGACAGCAATCAGATAAAGGTGTTTGAAAAAATTTAATTCACATACCATCACATTCTGTGATAGCCTACATGCCTTTCTGCAAAATGACAGCTGAAAATTAAAACCACTTCATTTAAAATTACAATTGGAACTTTGTACAGGCAGAAACATTAGCCTAATTAATTTCACAGAAGGGTCTGTGTTCATTTGGGAGTGGACTTCCCTTAAAGATGTTTCCTAATGTTTTCAGGTACACAAACTGCTACACAAACTGAAAATTAAGACTGCTTGATTTAAAATTACAGTGGAACTTTGTAGAAAAATTAGCCTTCTTAATTTCACAGAAGGGTCTGTGGTCATTTGGGAGTTGATGTCCCTTAAAGCTGTGTCCTTATTTCCAGGTACACAAACTACTAAACAAACTGATAATGATGATAATGAGCAAGTTGAGCGGCATATCATCCTACCTCCAAGACTGTCTCCAATCGTAAGAGACAGCTCAGAGAAAGTCAAAGAGGTGGGTGTCTCTACAATCACGGCAACACGAGGTGCCAGTACCACAGACGTACCAACATCCACCCCTCTCTCAGCCGAGACACAAACAAGGAACAGAGACCTGGAACCCAAAGGTGAGAATATGCTAATTTTTAAGAGTGATTATTGTCTAGTAAGGCATGTATTGTTGTCAATAAAGTGAAGCAAAGGGGCCAAATGTTTGCAAATCTGCACTATTCGCAAGTGAGAAGGAAAACCACATTTTACCATCAGTTAACTAACAACACTGAACCTCATTCTGGCCTTTGTCCAAATATAATCCCTATTTTGATTTCATACCTCATGAGTTTTGTTAATGTCTCATGGAGAGGCATTCTAGATGCTACAGGGATCCACCAATAAGGGGTGATCTAAAAGTAATTTTCGAGGGGTAAATTATGGAACACACCTAACTGGGGAATTCCATCTCTCCTGTGTGAAGCATATTTCTCACAAGAGTCAGGCAAAGCGACTGTTCTGAGTCCCTGAGGAGTATAGAACTGAGGACCACCCAGGTAACGTTTCGGAAGCCCTCGATTGAGACTATCGCAAACAGTGGTTGGAAAAGCCATATTTATTTTTTTTATATTTTATAGACGTCCGCTTTTATTACTGTTAAGATCAGGAACGACAAAAATGTCCGTTTCATCGTTCGGGCAAAGGCTGTTTTGTAATTTTAACACTTGTCTTGATTTGCAGTGCTAACGTATGAAGTATATATCCTGACTGGTGATAAACTGGGTGCTGGTACCAAGGCGACGGTCAAGTTAACAATGTTTGGAGAGTACGGCAACTCAGGCGAGAGGCAGCTGCTGCGATCCAGAACACACAGAACAAAGTTTCAAAGAGGACAGGTGAGAGTAAGAGTGTGGTCAAAAAGGAAGAGGTCTTAGGGTACATATACCCTCCCCTCTCTTTTACCAAAGAGGGACTAGCACTTTATAATAACAAGGCATCCTGGCATGCGACTGGACTTCGGTCAAGTGTTAGTAACCCCCCTCCCCCTCCCTCCTCTTTTTTTAATCGGGACTCCCGCCCGGACCATTAAGATGCAGGTAATTTGGACTAGAGGAAGTCATAGAATTGAGGGAACATCAATGGCTCTTAAGTGAGCCACCGGGGAAAATTTTGTTGTTTGTAAAACGAATTTCCTGGGGAGAAAACAGTGTATATTGTATGAAAGCTGTCATATGAATTTAAAAAAATGTCGAACCAATTACACTCTTACATTTTCATTTCTGAAATGAAACGAGTTTATTGTCCAAACTGAGACAAGTCGGACCGGGTCTACACTTGGAAGAGTTTATGTACAATTATTACAAGCGACTCCTTAGTTGAACTCCAATCGGCTAATTCTTCTTGCTGCACGTCTGTTTATCAGGTGGATATCTTCGTCGTAGACTCTGTCTTTCTTGGAAAGATGTCGAGTATCAGAATTGGTCACAGCGAGACTAAACTTGGTAAGCTACCATAACCAGTGTCTCCCTCACTCTTGACTATGTGTGTTTTTTTCATAAATGATGTTGATGTTAACTTCGTTTTAGGTTTGTAGCAACGTTTGGGAGAACTTTCACTTACTCGTTTCTTCTTCGTTACTATGTCAGATGACTAGAAACTTGCTTTTATTTTTGTATTTAGGTTATGGCTGGTTCCTGGACAAGGTGTTTATCAAGGAAGGACCGGAGGCGACAAGAGCATTCGAGTTCAGTTGTAGCAGGTAAAGGTCAGCCATGAGAGTACAGTCGGTGAACAAGTCCACTTACAATTTTCGCTCAAACTTTGAGTGACCCACTTCAAGACCTTTCATGGCATGCAGTGCTGAATTTGACGAATGTAAAGACTCTTTTTTTTTTTTTTCAATCAGTGATAACAACCTGAAGGACCCTGAATCTACGATTGTCTCGCAAACTCTCGTGGACTGATACTCTGTTGACACTCAACTAGTCACTGGCTTTTTTTTTTTTAAATTTCATTCGCCTTTTTACCTTTTTTGTAGATGGTTATCGTCACGAGATGATGATGGGCAAATTATTCGAGATCTTCCAACCTCAGACGTCATTCCAGGTAATCTTACTTTTAACGTGAACGGTATTCCTGTTAGCTAAAATAACTTAAGTATGCTTTAGTGAGAATTAGCATAAATGCATACGTGAAGGTAAAAGCAAAGAGGTGATTTTTCACTCAAGGTAAAGCTGTTCAGAACAGCTTGGAAAGCTCTCTCTTTCTCGTCGTGGGTAAGTTACATTGTGATCTCGGTTTAGTTTGAGGTTCCTAATTTTTTTTCTTATCGGCGTGGAATAATTTTGGCCCAGACTCGTAAACAGGACTTGGTCATGGAGGTGCTCACCCCACCAGTCCTCTCCTTTTGCTTTGCTATATCTCGTCAATGTACCGTTTTCCCTTAGCATACCAAGTAAGTTTTTGACAATAGGGCGTGGCTAGGGGTGAGGGGCTCGTAAGGTGCACCCGACCCCCTCTTTCTCACCTTGGAAGACTCCACAATTGCCAATAAGACTGTAGTGGAGTACACACCCTGCTGGAGAGATTGCTTTGAAGTTTTTAATTCTGTAGTTTTAAAATTTTGTTTTTATTTAATTAGATTTCTTTATTTTTTTGTGGCGTGTAGCATCGCATCTTGTTGCGGTCTTACCAAGAATTGACGAAAGACAAGACGACGACTTTTACCGGAGCGCAAGCGAGAGTGACAGCTTCTCTAGCGGTGAAGACGAAGATAATGTTCCTGCACCTGACTTGAGAGAAGTTAAAAAGAAATCAAAAAGTAAAGCTGATTCGCTGAGGGAGAAACCTCCGATAAGCTCCAAACGGGCCAAACCTCCCCCGCATGTGGCATCAACGAACGGAGATGAAAATGCGGATGATCTATTAGTGGCGATTAAGGCTGAAGACTTGTTTGATGTTAGCGAACGAGAAGAAGAAGAGAAAGGACAAACTCCCGAAGGACAAGATGAAGAAAAGGAAGACGAGAAGGAAAGATTCTTCCAACCTGAGGAACAGAACGAAGATTCTGAGGATGAGGATGCTGAAGAGAATTCTACAAAAAATTCAAAAAGGCAAAGAAGCAGGGAAGATGAAAATGCTAGCGAAAGTGAGGAAGAAGAAAAGGAAGAGGCTGGAAAGGATGACGAGAAAAGGAGGTTATCCAAGAACGGTTCGGATCAGTTGAGGCTGGTCACCACGTCTGTCTCGAAATTCAAGAAGAAAACCAAGAAGGAAGAACCCAGTCCGGAGACTGGGTTCGAAGAGGAGGAGCAGAGTGGAAAGCATGAAGAAATGAAAGAGAAAGAAAATGTTGAAAAGGGGGAAGAAGATACGGCTGAACAAAGGGATGAGGAGGAAAAGGACGAGGACAAGGAAGAGGACGAAGAAGAAGAAGAAGAAGAGGAAGAAGAAGAAGAAGAGCCCAGGGTGGAGTTCACAGTTGACACCAAACCAGAGGTAAGGTTATCTTTTAATGCTTCGACGTTACCTCTTAAGAGACATTACATCTTGTGAGAAACAGCCAGCATGATTGTAGCCTATGTTACAGGCGTGTTTTTGGCATGGGACCACTAATTACCCATTCGTGAAAATCTGGAAAAGGCAGGGGGGAGTGGAGGGGGGGGACGCTTTATAGGCGAGAGCAAAAGAAAATCCCTTCGCCTATCTTTAACCACCCCCTGCCGAAATCAACCTATTAAGTTACTTGCTTTCCATATCAAAGCGCCTGCTATAAAAGATCATGATGTTTGTGGGTTTGAAACTCGCTGGTTGTAATAGTGATCTGTTAATTTATGTGTATGATGATCTCACATGGCACTATTCAAGTAACAAATTGTAATATTTTTTCACCAGCATGAACGTGATCGACCTGTTTCTGCTCAAAGTGAAGATTTTGTTGAAGGCTTCCGAGCGGGAGTTCGCGCAAAACAAGAGAAAGAAAGAGAGCAACACAAACACTCTATCAGCGAGAGTGAAAATATCTTGAGGAGAGGTTTGTTCGCTTTTTATGTAACTTTGTAGTCACCCATTAGGAGTAAGTGAAATGTTTTATTGGCGAGCAAACGAACAGAGCCAATTGGGCTGCTGTGCGAAATGGTACAAGGTCGTGTTTTGTAGTCCACCAATCGAAACATTGTTGCTAATATGCACCAATTCTAATTTCAAGAAACCACGTGTCAAACGGCTTAATATATGACTGGTATATTTGACTGCTGCCTATGATCACCTAGATGATTCAGCGCTGATTTAATTCTAATTAGATTCTTTTTTTTCATTATCTTATCTTTAGGTGCATCAATTCACGACGCCTCCAAAAAGGGAGACCTTGAACGAGTGAAGGAATTAATAAGAGTGGTGCCTGCGATGAAGAACATGACAGATGAACGCGGTTTGAACCCACTTCACATAGCAGCCGCTAATGGTCAACTGGATTGTGTTAAGTGGCTAGCGGTCAGCGGTTTAGACTTAGGCGCAGAGACGCCGACTGGCTATACCGCCATGCATCTGGCAGCTATGAATGGTCACGTGAACTGTATGATGGTTAGTTACTCTTTCTTACACACTCTTATTTGCATTATATTCTTTTGATTTAATAAAGAGTGAAAGAAAAAAAAAAACGAGTTGTTTCCGCTAAACGATCTTCGACCATTTCAAACCACGGTGCATTAAATGGTGTTGAGCTATTAACGCTTCCTCAAGATTTGGAGACCTGGTTACCTGTTGAAGGAAAGCGACTCAAATTTGTTTCTCTTCACTTCACACCAGGAAAAGAAGTGGCTTGATAACTCACTTACATGAAAATATGAAAAATTGGATTAAAAAGTAGACGGATACGAGAGTGATAAACCAAATTTCACGATTTTACCATGAAAGCTTTAAAATATTTCACTTATTTACCAAACATTGCTTTTTTGTGTAATTATGTTCTTTATTCAGATTCTTTCGGCTATGGGTAGTACATTGAGCTGCAGAACAGTAGACGAACTTACTCCCCTCCATTTGGCTTGTATGAGGTATGTTGTCGCTGCAATTCAACTTTACACTACGGGGCATTTATGCCGTCTCTTCGATGTTGTTTGCTTTGTGCTCCCTGACTGCCCAAATATTTGTCCGAGAAATTTCAGGTGGGTATCAAAAGGAATCCGGCTGTACTGATTATCCTTCAGTGCACTCTGTGATAAGTCTACGATACTCTTGCATCCTCTCAACTAACCCAGCAATTCGCGAAAGACCGGTTACATGTTTTAATTCAATTCTATGTGGTTGGTTGTGGCAGAGTGGTTTTCAGTTGACTGTCGAAAAACCAAAAGCAAAGTAATCACAACTACCAATTAGAAAAATGGTTAATATCATCACTAACCAATGAAAAACAGGCAACCTGTTAGAAGCGCGGGAAAACGCCGGTGACCAAGTAGGATTGCTATTAGTTTTGCATCTGATTGGTTGAGATAGTGGTGGGATTTTTCTAGACCAATCACAGAGCAGAGTAAAGCAACACTAATCTTTACGCTGACTGGCCTTTGTGAGAATGCATTGATTTTTGTTTTACGTCATTCAGTCAAAAGGCGCCCTAACGAACACTTCGTTTTGTTTGCAGCGGGTATGTAAAGTGTGTCAAGTGGCTTATCGCCAACAGAGCAAAGGTGGACGTTGTGGACAATAACGGACGAACCCCTCTTGACATAGCAGAAGTAAGTGAAGGTTCTAGTTATCAGGCTTAAATAATTCAATAGGAGAGACTTCGTTATTTTACAAATAGTTTCTCTTATGCAAAGAAACGACAGCAAGTCTCGTAGGAGAATTCAAGTTGGGGATCATGTTTAGTGGGCATGTATCTTAAGGGATCACTTCACAGTTTGCACATTCCACAGCTAATAGTAAATCTAGGATGATTATTTTTGGAAAGCAAAGGGTTTCATCGAATCCTTTACCAGAAAGGTAAACAGGGATTCCTTCTCTTGGCTAGGAATACTTAATAAAGATTGCTTTCGTTTTGTTTTAGGAATATGGACATGAGGAGCTGGTGAAACTCTTGAAGAAATTTAGTAAGTTCTTGCACTTGCTCACTCTCTGTGGGATTCTTAGCCTGTCAAACATCTGGACTCCGAAGTCGCGAATTGATTTCCATACTATGAAGAAATATTCTCTTTCTTTCCAGAAGAACTCGTTTCAGGAAATCTTGTTATTTTTACCGTTTAAAAAAAAATTAGAATTCATATATTGTCTTCGGGATGTTGAAAAAATTTGCCTTCAAAATTCGTAGTCAAATTAAATTTTAATCATGTCAGATAACTTGTTGAATGCCAGATAATCGCCTGGAAGCTCTATTTCCTGGAACAGATTTCTTGTCAGAGGGTTTCCCGCAATCAGTGTTTGTTAGGTGGCTGATAATGGCTTTGAAGTTATCGTTGAATTGATTTACAATTAGCTCGGGCTGAGGTCAAGTCTCACGTGCCTGCAACTGGCCTGGGTTAATTCGGGTTTCTTTAGTATTAAACACGAAGGCGCGCTATAAAAGGAGCCTTAGGTCCCACTGGACTATTTGTCAATCAACCGTCGTGTGATGTAGAACTCTTAGAGTCAAGACAGCTTGAGCTACAGCTACTCCAAAGCAGTGAAYAGCGGGCGCATTCCTCAAAATTGTTTTATGTCTTCGTCACAATACAAGAATTTTTGAGATTTGTATTTCCTTTCTCCAATGGAAACTGTCTTTATTTGTGGCGGTAAATTTGAGATCGAAGTAGGTGGTTCTCACGTTACCTCATGCCACCATGCTGGTAGAAGTAAACAATAGATATCTCATTAGCTCCTTTTGTTCGTCTACCAGCATTTAAATTTGACCCGCACACGCCAACGCTGAGTGACGAATGAGCCTAGGTCTTCCCAGGGAAGACTTCCTTATATAGCGCGCCTTCGTGTTTAAGCTCTTGGGAGGGATGTTCGTCCATAAGAACCAACACCTTTGACAGTTTTTAATAGCCATTTGCACTCTTGGGAGAAGACAGACTCGGAGGGTTCAGTGTTCTTGTCCCAGAATACAACAGAATGATCCGCCTAGGGCTCGAACTTTGACCTTTGGATCTAGAATTCAGCGCGTGAGGTGACCTTGTCTCGACAATTAATCTCACGATTAACGCATGTCTTGCATCCTTTTAGAAAAAGAGCTTACAAGACAGGACAGCACTCTCGCTCAGTTGATGACCAGGGACCATAAGCGAAGGAAAAGGTAACCAAAAGAATAGCAATTTTTATTATCTGATCTGTGCTCTTGGCAGGGAACAGTTCAATCAGTTGTTGAACAGGATATTTCTGGCTCCGTTTCCATTGATTTTTGTCTTTGGTGTTGTAGTATGGAGTCTGTAGGAAGTGACCAAGATGGCGGTGCACGGTCCAAAGTGTCGGACAGTGGAGTTGGAGGACTGGAGAGTGAAGAGGAAAATTGGATCAGTGATACTGAGGTTAGTAAAACAAAATTAATCAATCTATTCATCCTTCTGTCTGATTACGTCTACGTATTTATCTGTCTTTCTGTCAATGAGTCGGCAAGTCAATCAACCAAAGGGCGAGCGATCAAAGCATAGTTGTCTAGAATGCCATTAAAGGCAAGAAAATATGGACTGTGGCAGGTGGGAACATGCAACGAAGACGTGAAAATTATGCAAAACAAAGAATTTCTAGAAGGAGATCTGCTTACTGACGGGCTTATTTTTCCTGTTATTTGGCAAACCTTAATGCTTCGTGGTTTTTAACTAAAAAGGACTAACTAAACTGACAAAGGAAGGACATAGAAAAATAACAGTCCGTGTGGTTTACGTTTAACCGCTGTATTTTCTTTCCTGCAGGAGGACTTAACAATAGAAGGTGGGAAGGAAAGCCGCTCCGACTCTGCCTCAAGGAATCGCCCGAGCTCTGGAACTGAGCGACCTTCGTCAGCGTCACGTGCTCGGACAGACTCCATGACTACAATAGAGGTGAGTAGACTGGGTCAAACATACTGTCTATATGTGTCTCGTGGGGGAGTAAGTTTTCCCTAAAGTCTTTGGTCTCTACTTTTCTGTAGTTCTATAGCCATCTAATTCTCTAGTTCTTTAGCTCTCTATACTTCTTTAGTTCGATACTTCTCTTGTTCTCTGCTTCTTTACTTATCTAGCTTTCTCTAGTTCTCTGCTTCTCTAGTAATCTGGTTCTCTAGTTCTCTACTTCTCTACTTCTCTAGCTTTCTCTAGTTCTCTGCTTCTCTAGTAATCTGGTTCTTTAGTTCTCTACTTCTCTAATTCTCTACTTCTCTAGTTTTCTCTAGTTCTCTGCTTCTCTAGTTATCTTGTTCTTTAGTTCTCTAGTTCTGTAGTTCTCTAGTTCTGTAGTTCTCTAGTTCTTTAGTTCTCTAGTTCTCTATCTTTCTGTAGTTCTAGTATTTTTGTAAGACGTCGGGCATTTGATTGGCCCTATTTTTCATTCTCTTGAGGAAAACTTTTGATTCGACTTTTACTCACCTTGAACCATTCGTTCGAGGGCGCGAGTGTGTTAAACGTTTGCACGCACATGAATTGAAATCCATTGAGAAAAAGAGTTTTCAGTGGTTACTACTGATTGACGGACGTGAATAGAAATGACAAAGTTATTCTCTGTTGCAGGACAAAAAGAAGAACTTTGAGAAACAAAAAATTAAAATGAAGAAAAGGAACTCGAGCTTTTTGGACAGCATAAGGATGGAAGTTGACAATGAAGAAGAATTCTAAAACGCGTTTGTCTGCTTCATAAGTAATATCAATACTCGGCTCCGGACAATACTTCCACAGTTTGTTGTCGACTAGCGGGAAAAAGAGAAAAAAATTGATTCAAGGTTGAGAATGTCAGATTTCCTTTGAGCTGGATGTATCATGGAGTTCAAAGAAAAGAGTGCAGAATTCTTTGCATCAAGAGTCTTCAAAGTTCGGGCAAGTGGAAGACAACAAGAGTGGATTTATACAGAACAATTTGAACTTAATATATTTACTATATATATATATATATATATTTGATAGGTGTATCACACCAGAACCTGTGTGTATTGACCATTGTGTCGATTATAGACTTAGATGCTGTGCCACCTTGTAGCTTCTAAGAGATCTTTCATTTGTAAAGTAGGTGCGCACAGGGTTTCAATTTCTTACCTTGATGTGAGTTTTAGAGTACCGTTGTGTAGTGCATAGCCAATTTTATCCATCCAAGGATGGCAAACGGCCTATTTTTAGCGTAGGTACAAGTAAGAAAGGATTCAGACCAAATTAACATGTGCTACCTACAATCCCGTCGATGTTACCCATACTGTCCTACTGCAACAATCAAGTTATTCCTCAAACCCTGAAGTAACAGTGCCGGCTACTGTTTTTGTTCGAGTTTAACTAAAAAAAGAAGAATCTTTTTACCTTCCCTGCCTGAGCTTTCAGCGTTCTTTCATTTTGTGCCCGCTAAAATTCCAAACCACAGCTGGGCGTGGTGTCAGTGATTCCCCAGTCTGGGACACCGTTTACAATCATAGGATTATTTTTTCCTCGCATAGAATTAAACTAGTAGCTAACGGCGTTATTCGGGTATCTCCCAACATACGATTGCTTTGTCATGCAGATGTCCAATTTTTCCAGGGATGTGGACAAGAAGTGTAGATATAAATTTGAGGAGATCTCCGTCATTACAAATCATATATTCCGTGTACTCGGTGAAATGAGGCCAAGAGGCTTTCTCATTTGTATTTAGTGAGGTATGATACGATTGCCTAGAAATATTTACTCTTCAGGAGTTCCAAAATATTTCATCAAATTTCCAGGTTATAATCATGCATCAGTTCATGAAGTCCACAATATTTATTGAACAACGAATACACCGTGTTCGTTGCACTTAAATTCCACATTATAAGTATAATTATTTAAGATGATCGCCCAATCACCTTGCAGTATTTGCCTTGTTGTCCTTTAATTGGGAGATCTTTTAAAACGGAAGAATTGACTTGAGTGTAAACAAGGCGTTTTATCTTTTGAACAGTAACGATGAATTTTCAAATAAAAGACTTCCAGAGACAGGTTTTCTACTACTCCGCTATATTACGTGATTATAACTGCAATTTTTACCCCTTTTTTTTTTACAGCGAAGCTCTGCTAATTTTTATAAATGGGGCATTTGTTTTGAAAGCTGGCTATACTATCATGGGTTTCCTAACAACTCTCTGGGGGTCGCAGCACATGCAAGTCAGTCTCTTCACTCTCATTACGAAAATTCTGCCCTTACTGTAGCACACCTAGCTTCCCTGAATGGGAAAAAAGCAAAGCAAGTGCATGCCGAACCAACAACAGAATACTTGTCTTTCTCTCTCTTAGTTTGGCATAGCTTTTATAGATTTAATCCCGGAAGAGGCGGTTTCCTCCTACATATGGATGCTTTTTCTGAGGGGGCAAACTTGCTTTAGAAGAGAGGCAAGAAAATGATATAAAACATTATGATTGACAAGTGTCCATCAAAGCTGTTATCAAGTTAGTTCAACCGTTCCCACCTTGAACTGACTTTCGATCGATAATGGCAGCACTATCTGACAGCGAATTTCGTCCAGTTGTAATGGAGACCTCTCGAAGTAAGGTAGGTCGATGTCGTATGCTTTCAGGTTAAGCACTCGTTGGCCCATAGTTTTTCGCAATCTGCTACACCAAGCCTGAGTTGAGATTTTACCAAATCCACGTGCTGAGAAATGGGCGCGCTTTTTTACAGCTGCATGTGAGTTTGAACAAGCACACCTCTCGTTTTCCACATTTGGGTGGAATCCAATCTTCGTTATTATACCAGATTTTCCTCGTGGATCATCTACATAACTCAGATGGTTTCCTCCGATTTTGTTCACCCTTTCGGGGCACCTTCCTTAGAAGACTTTAGGTTTCTTCAGCCACATTTTCGATGCAGTAGAAAACATTAGTTTGAATAACTTCAGTTCAAACAGCTTGCGGCTACACCGAGCTACAAGTAGATAATATGGGTAGTTGCAATCACCACTTTGTAGTGTGCAATCTCGAAGAGATCTAGCCATGTAAGTTTTTGCGATGCATCCGGCGGGTGTAAAATGAATTCGTTATGTATGTGTTTGTTCTTTCGGTCCAACTCCGATTCTTATCTCTTGAACCCTTTTATCGCCAGCCCAGGCGGTCTTACAATTCATGATTGTAATCGTTAATTTGGAAGAAATCTGACGTGTTTTGAAAGTCCTTTGTGTGAGGTCTCAACAAGCAAATCAAGCTAGCATGTATGCATGTGCAGATCTGGATTTTCTTCCCGGTTGGAAGAATATATTCTTACCCTACTGATCTAAGAAGGTAGATTTTGAAGCAAACTAAAGAAATCAGGACCATAACGAGCAGTTAGATTTAGTCGAATTTATTTCCTCGAATATCCTAAATTTCCATGCGCTAAACTGTCAGGAAACTCTTCAAACACACCCTGGAAGTAATCAGCGAACTTCCTGTCAAAATGGGCGTTGACTTCACATTTATTTTCCAACCTTACATTTTACATGTAAATTTGAGTATTTAGAGTAAAATTTTAGGTGATATTAATGGCACAATTATGTTTGAATAAAGAGTGAAGTTTCCAGGCAAGATTTGTCTCCAAGGCTGTTCTGCTAGTATTGTAGTGTGGTTGTCAAATTCTCGTACCAGGTACATCTGTATTCTAGATTACAGCAACTCCCAAGATCGAACTGGTTTTTCTCACAATTTAATGCTGTACATTTCAAGGAGAATTCACGGCCATGTTTAATCAAGATGACATACTCCAGCTGGCAAGCTTCTCCTTTCTCTCAACCAACTATTAGGATCATAATGCATTGGAATCAGAATGAAAAATTACTTGTTAATCAATTCTAGCAGCTGAAGAGTTCATACAGAGGATTTCACATCAAGCTGTGATATTTTACAATTTTCATTTGTTTTCCCAGAAAAAAAAAGACATAGTACTAGACCAGAACTTTTTCAAAGTTTGATCTGTTCTATGAAACTACTTGAAAGTCTCAATCTTTTGTTGTTTTCTGTTAAGTGTTGCACAGTTCAAGTAATAATAATTGCCAAGTTGATTTTTGCCAACCTCATCTTCATATCTTAATCATTCTCAGGAGGAGGTGAACTTCAATAGTACTCCAGTACCAGTTGAATTTCCAGAGAACATTTTGTCAACTCCTCTGTCGTCTGCAATACCACACAGTACAGCAAGAATGGAGTCAAACTGTAGAGTGTTCAGTCCAATTCCTTTTCAGTCCAGGGTTCCTACTCCATATCCTCTGTTTGATCCTGTTTCTACTGGAAAAGGTAAGGCTTGTAAAAAGACATCAGCACTGTTTAGAAGGACTGGGAACTAGTTTGACCGTGAGGTCACTTGACCGCCATGTTTTTTTGTCTTACTGATGTAGCTTGTTATTTTCGTTAAATTAAATGAGTTAAATTTGTGAAGAATTGTTTTGCTTTGAACCTGGAACTCATTCAGAAGAACAAACACCCCTCTGAATAATAACTCATTTTGGTTTCAATGCCAGAAAGTGACATAGAATACTGTCTCTACCCCCAGAATTAGATGTTATTTATTTACAGGATTCAACCCTTAGTATTTTGTAAGGTTTCCCTTGCAATCAACCAACACCTATGTTTTCTATGGGTAGAGGTATTGTCTCTCTCTAGAACAAAAACATATCAAACCAGATCAGCAGAATCTCTCTGCCTTAGTGCAACACATTAAGAGTTTTTAGTGATATGATTTTTTTTTAATTTTTGTTTCCTTGCTTTTGAAGTTGGGAAATATTTTAAACAAAATGAGAATCACACCTGTTAGAATGGTTTAAGCATGGCACCCTTCACCTCAGCCTTGTAGCTAGCCCAAGAAAACTTGACATCCGAGAATTTAAGGATATGGTAGACCTTTAAGGGCAAATTTTTAAATTTTTTTTTCATGCCAAATTAAGCATTATTATCTAACTATAGCTTCCAAGAAAAATTTAGGTGAGATATTGAAAGAGAGAAAGAGAAAAATATAGGGAGGAGGTTTATATGTGTTAAAGATTATTTTCAAATGCCATATACCACCAAATGTGCTGAAAATTTTCAAATATGTTGAGATGAATCACTTCAAAACCTCTTGTTTGAATAGTTGACAAAATCTCAACATATGTGATCATTGTGATTGTTTATATTGAAGAAAACTGCATTACAGGACATAAAAGTGTAGGACATTCCAGCACTAGCATTGCTGCAAGGTCTTCAAATTGTAGTCTGAACTGAGTGTGGCATTTTCTTATGACAATTATATTCAGGTAATCTTTTCAATCCCAAGATCTCACTGATAACTCTCCATGCTGTCTGCAATACAATTTTGGATCAACTAATAATCCCCTTATTAATATTCATCTTTGTCCTCATCATTTGTCAGCTCAGATCATGTTGTTAAACTTCATAACAAAGTCGGTGTAATTTTGCTTAATGAGAAGGAGTTAATTAACTTCATTTGTCTGAATTACTACTGTGTGGGGAATGATTTTAAATCTTTTCCCTCAACTTGTTATTGGATTAAGAAATTATTATCATGACCTGTTACTGCTTTTGTTCATTTCAACAGATTGGCAAGGACCTCCAGAAAATAGAGTGTTTTCCCCATCATGGGGATTTGAATCCACCATATCATTTAGTCAGCAGTTCCAGTTACCAATAGCAACTGGTAATGCACATAATCTTCATCATTATACATTCCCACAAAATTGGCACCATCCTGTCACACCACAAAGTTTCAAGTAAGTATGTTTGAAATGTTATCATTTAATTGCATATGCACTCTTGGCCCTTGTTCTGTATGTTTGAACACAAGCAAAAAGAAGATGGGGAATTACAGCAAGTGATGTCCTACTGATTAACTTTCTGCCACAATAAATGGTTGAAGTAAATTGAACCCTTTAACTGCTAAGAGTGACTCCCTAGAATATTACCCCCAAATCAAACATTTAGGTCACAAGAACGAAGGAACGATCCCCAAATGAAGAAGCTCTAGATTTGTAAGCAAATTCTCCTTGTCAGCACCTTAGGAAATGTATAGAGAATAGTATGGAGAATATGCATACTGATGTCAGGGTGTAACGGGTGACAAAAATTTCTTTTGTGACTTGACTGTTTCTTTTTGGCTCTTCTTTTCTTTAGATATTCTTATTGGAAGAGGTATAATAGGACATAGAAACAGTATTTAAAAAAAAGAAGAGTTTGTTATTCCACATAAACTTTCTTAGACACTGACCAGTGACTTTGGTTTTGTGTATTAGGTACAGTTTTCCTGGTTTCAATTATATCAATCAGTGGTCTATTAATAAATTGCCATTGATGTTGCTGTGACTGTTGTTTTTTGGTATTCTATTGCAGTAGTTATAATCTATACAGCAGTGATGTTTGGTATGCAGATTCTCCTCTGATGGATGGGGTAATTTTTTTTTTGTTGTTGTGACATTTTGTTTGTTTGTGTTTTTTTTTTTTCATTCCGTAACGTTTACTCCATACATTTGAGGGAATTTTTTTTAATCCTGCGTCTTCTAAAAACCTGATTGTCTCCTTATGAATTAAGCTTGGAGCCTTAGATGAGAGCGGTGATGTTATTGAACAAGATTCAAAGGTGACGTCAAGCACAGAAGGTAACATCATTCTTCTCCTAGCTCTTTACCGTCATATATCTGGTATTCAAATTCAATCCATTTTTTGAATGTCAACAATCTTTGAAAAATTACCACAACCTTAAATACACATCAGTTTCAACGACTTGTTTTAACCTTTTAAACTTGATTTTTATTGCAGTATCACCATGGAAACCTCACTTGCCTCTTCCACCCGTCTCAGAGCTTTTGAACACAGCGGTAAGAATTCTTATTTGTAGTATGATTCCCTAAATTGCATCTCTCATAGACAAAAGAGTTTGGTACAGAATCCTGATCCAACCAACGATAACAAATTTAAACATAGCAATTCAAAGAAAGAGCATGAAAAAAAAAACAACAACAACAACAACAAACTTTAAATTTTTCAATTTTTTCCTCACTGGCTTCCAAAATCTGTTGACAGTACTTTTTTTGTTTCTAGCATGGAAGCCTGAGGGGCTGGAGAGAAAGCATCAGTCCAATGTCAGATGAAACAAGCCCATTAAATGCACAGCTCAAAATAACTGACAGGTGTAAACAAGTTACTGTAGCAAGCACCAACATCAAAGGTAACTATATAATCAATTTGGAACAAAAATTGGATCAATTTTTTAAGCCATTTTTTTATGAAACTAAGCAAACTTTAATCAAGGGATGGTGTTACCCGACAGGGGAGGGGGATATTTAATGGTTTATATGACCCCTTCTTTTTGACAGAAAAGGTGATAATTTATATTTGAATAAACTGTGTCTTTCCCCCTTTCCTCCACTGGAAAATCCACTCTTTCCTCTTGATAAACATTCCTCAGTGACATGTATGCTATTACAATAGCAGTTAAAACTCAGACACCATGGAAGTTAAAGAAAAACAAGTCTGCCTCAGATGCTAAAGGCCAGAAACAAAGAAAAGGGAATCCTCGTAAAATAGTTGACAAATTCACATATATCAAGCAAAAGATGATGTAAGTAGCAACTTTCTAATTAAGAAAAGACTTTTTCATGAGATAATCTAAGAGTGATTTTTACTCTCTAATAGAGAATTGGCCTTAGTTTGGGATAAGGAAAAACAATTTTGTTTTGAAACACGAATTAATACTAATGCTCATGTGTCATTGGTTTGATCTCTGTGATTTTCACAATTTTCTTCCAAACCACTCACTGCTTTTGAGAAATATTTGTCAAAGGTGGGTTTTTATAATTTAATGTTCTAAGAAAATATTTTAATTATGCATCAAAAGTAGATATATTCAACTCTAAGTATGGAAAGATGTACCTCGAAGAAAAACTTTTAATTCATGAATCTTCTTGAACATAGGCAAAAAGAAAGAGAAAAGGCCATAAGAGATGCACTTCAAAAACTGAGTGAAATATTACCATGCAAAGACCTGAGAAATGGCCATCCTTCAAGAAAGGAAATACTTGAAACTGCAATAAGTCACATCATGCAGCTTCAAGAAAACATTAGAGAGGCTTATCTCCAGAGAGGACTGAAAACAGAGGATCTGCAAGCTATGTTACAAAACTGTGGCATGTCCAGCTTGAAGCAAAACTGTTTTCGCAATATCAGTGGGCAACAAAATGTCGCAACCATGTTCTCTGGAGCACCAAACAGTCTTTGCAGCACCCCAGAATTTGTCTTTGAAGAAAGCATGACAACGATCTCAGCATCACCATTTTCAGATTTGAGCAGCCAAGGGTCAGAAGAAGTTGAGGAGGTCATGGCTAGACGATCTGAAAATGGAAACACTAACGAAACACCTGAGAATTATATCAAAAGGCCCATGAATGCTTTCCTTTGGTTTAGCAAGCAGTACCGTGGAGAATTCAAGACACAGTATCCTGGAAGAGATAACCGGGAGATTAGCACCATCCTTGCTAAACATTGGAGAGGCATGACTCCTGAGCAGAAGGAACCATTCAAAGAGAGAGCTAGGGAAGAAATGAGAAGAACAAGAGAGTCATACCCGGATTTCAAGTACTGCAAAACCAAGAAAGAGACAACGCTGGCCCCAGCCTTGACCAACAGTTGCGAGAAGCAAGATGGTTGGGGTCAAGGATACAGGTTAGGAAAAAAAAACCGTAAAATCCATAGAATGACACAGAGATTGAAAACTACAGGATGGAATCATATGATTTAACAATGATTTTTTTTGAAAAATGTAATCTCAAGTCGTCTGATACTTACAGGCATGTGAGAGACAAATATATATATTTTTTTATTGTTTTCTTTGTCATACATTCTTTCAGGATTGGTTCTCACAATCTACGACACAGGTATGTACATGAAAGATCTTGGTTTGTATTGGTTAGAGAAGAATACATTTTAAGCCTTATAATTAAGAGCTCTATTATCTTTTCAAGAAAAAGGGAGTGGGTTTCCAATTCTGTAAATCTTGTTATATTTTGGAATGCAAACTAGTAAGAGCGTGCAGGTTTTCAGGGCTGGATGTGAACTGGCCATGACTAAGTATTTTGATAATGACGCATTCTTCATGACCAGAAGTGGGAGTGATTTGGACAATACGTAGAATGAGCAAGTAGTATTACAACTTCATATGTGTGTAATGCATCAATCATTTCAAAGCTTCAACATCCCTCCCAGGCAACCCTTGGTTATTTAAACTTTTGAAATTGCTTTGTTAAATTCCTGCCCTCATGGAAAAATTGTGATCATATGGCCCTCCTGATTTTTTTGTTAAAGGCAAAATATGTTGCTCATGCTAACTTTATTTCATGCCTCAGAAATGCCATTATATGCACAACTGCAAATGGCAAAGGAAAAACTCCTGTCACAAAGAAGGAACATACTTCTTGTGAACAATTTGGTTTGAAACCAAAAGGTAAGGTGACTGAATTCATACATTGAACTCAGCTTTGATCTTAGCATATTCCTGCCAATTGTCTGATTTTTCCTGCCCAACAAAAAACCAACTTTTGCATTTACTACCAGGACTGACATGCTTTTGTAATCTATGAGTGATAAAACTTGCTTAAAGCTATGAAGAAATGTTGTCTCCAAATCTGTTCATACTTCCCTAAAACCTCTGATTTTATCAATTAGGTTTTTTTGGAATCCCTTTTGGACATCCTTGAAATGTCCTCTGACATCTTAGGGCATCTGCAAATGATTATGTGTTGCTATGAAAGAAATTTCGGTGCTTAAAGGATAAAAATATCCAGATTTTGAGTCAAAAGAAATTTACGGGAACAAGATGGTAGGATTGAAGTCTGGTGACTAAGAAAGATGGAGTCATCATTATTCTGCATTAAAAATGTGTATATTTATGTTTTTGGACATGGCACCAAAAGGGGTATAGAATGGTAGACTTTGGAGGCTTTGCAAGATCCTGGTTTTAAAATTCAAGACCAAGACATGAGTGTTTTATCAAATCTGAGACTGAAAATTTACTTCTGAAAAATCTGAACCCAAGACTCTAAGTGCAGAAGATTTCAAGGTACCAATAAAGCTGAATAAAATATCTGAAAATGCCAGTGAGATTCTGAGATGCTTATTTAGTTTTTATTTTAAAGGCCAAGATTTTGAGATAAGGCCAAAATTTTTCAAGACTGATGTTTTTTTAAGGTACCATTCTATACCTCTAATAAAAGGTGGTTGGAATTGCTATGTGTTGTTGTTGTTGTTGTTGTTATTATTATTATTATTATTGCTATTGTAAACTTAAGGTCATCAGACAAAAGTTGAGTCAGAAACAACTGCACCTGGGACAACAGATAAAGCAAGCACCACTGCTGAAGATAAAATAAAGATGATGACAAAAAACAGTACACCAACTCAGAATGAAGAGGGAGGCACAGTTAGCAACTGTCTTAAAGACCAGATCAAGAATTCATGTCAGGATGGTGCCTCTGGAGCTGTGTCAAAATTTGAATGGCAGTCCACTTCATGTGACACCTGGGTTCAGTGCGAGAATTGTAAAAGGTGGCATATGTTGCCTGATGATAGTAATCCTTCTAGTTTGCCTGAAAAATGGTGAGGGAGACTGTCAGTGACTGGTTTGATAAGACCTACAGTAGAACCCTCCCTAACTTGAACTCAGTTGACTCAAACACCCCACTAATTTGAACCAAATCTGATTTGACCCCATTTTCTAAGTCATTTACTATCAGGTAATTACTCAAACTCCCCTTTACAACTCTAACCAATTTCACTTTTCCTTATCCTTGGCTCAAATCTACCTTCATAACTTGAACTTGAACTGAACCAACCCCATTAACTCAAACCATTGTTCAGTTTCTCTCGGTGGTTCAAGTCAGCTGTCTTTCACTGAATTTTTTTCTTCAGATTAGGATGCCTGAGAAACATGATATACATCTTATTAACCAAGCACAAGGACCGAACTGGGAGAATATTGGCCCGAGGCCTTGACAGTACGGACCGAGCACATTGAGGTCCGTACAAAAAAGACCGAGGGCTGATATTCATCCAGTACGGTCCCGAGCAAGCTTGGTTAATAAGAGATTTATTATACGACTGAAGTTCAAAGGGACACAAGTGCGGTATCATTCGGGACCATTCAGGACAGTGCCCGGTCCAATACTGAGAGAATATTGACCAGCAATAGAGCATTTTGATTGGTTGATTTTAGTTATTGGCCCTCTGACTGCCCGAGTCATGTAATAATTCTTTATATTAGACAGCCATCAATGAAGCATTCTTTGATGTAGTTTCTCATTTTACTTTTTGGGAACATGCGGGTAGTGACTATATACTGCAGTGCCTATGTTTAATTAATTCATATCCAATTTGTCACTGACTTTTCTATGTTTTTATCCATTAGGTATTGTTGCCCACATGTTGACTACCCAGCATAGGAAGAAACAAAGTAAGAGTACAGAAGTGATGTTTGGTTGTAGCAGTATGTTCAGACCCTCAGATTTCCCCTGTTCATATTGGTTTTAATTGACAAGGTATACCATTCAGCAATCCATTCACTTTTATTGCAGGACAGTATATTGATTTCATAATTAGTATCATGGTAACCTTGATTTAGAAGCTCCTCCCTTTGTACATCTCATAGTTGTGGAATCACTTTTGAAAGCTCTTTTTTTTATTATCCTTAATACAGTAGGAACCTGCATATAAGAAACAAGGTTTTTTCAAGTTAGCCTCAGGGGGTTCTTAAATAAATGATGTTTGCTGTGAAAATAGACTACCCAAATTCTAAACCAGGTTCTTAATTTTTTTTAAAGAGACTTTAATCTATTTATGGGTGTGGTTGTGATGCTGTGCTTTTTACCAGCCCTATAGTGCCTTGCTTTACATGGTTAACTTTTCCATATACTTGGATATGTTGCACAACTATGGAGGTATTTACAGTACATTACTGTGATCTTATAACACTTCCAGTGTTCTGGCTAGTTTTTTCACCCTCTATGTATCCCACATGATGAACTGTACAGTAACACATTTGGAAAAACTCTTTTCTAAAAATAACAACCTGTATTGAGATGTTAGCCCAGAATGGTTATTAAGTGAAGAGTGCTTAACTGGGAAATTTTAGCTGAACAGGTGATAATAAAGTAAGCCATACCCATTTAATTAAAAACTCCTCATGACAAGCTAAGTTCAAACCATTCACCTTAAGGTATGTCCTCATGCTTTGGGTGGTACAAGTATGAATTGGAAGAAAAAAATTTGCTGCATTCAGTTTCTAAGAGATTTGTATGGTATTACATTAAAAAAAAAATTAGTATAAATGTTTTAGAGTGTCACTCTAAAATTGCTAAAGTGAGTGAAGCATTTGAATTGTTTCAGTTAATTGGAGATACTCAATTGTCTTTTGTTTGGATAGCCTAAGGTTCCAGTTAACGCTATATATCCAAAGCCTTTTTTTCGTCAAGATCATTTTCACATGATATCACAAGTGGTCTTGATAGTTCAGCCTTACAGGCAGCATTGGTTTGACAAGTAAACTTATAAAAAACAACGAAAATAAATCTTGTGCAATGTCGGGCCTGGTTCTTTTCGTAATGAACCTTAATGCAGCCACGAATCACAGCTCATTGTGTAAAAAAAAAAAACAGACAGACAGCATTATCACATCATTTGAACAAGAAACATTAACCTTGATTAGATAGTCAAGTTTAAGTTATTATTTGTAGCTTGTATAGTCTCATTGGATTTCACAGTGTTTCTTTTATCAAAATTTTGAATTTGAAACACATGGTGAAGATTATGGGCAATTTTTTACTCTTTGAAATTGGTTACTGTAACAATTTTTCACATCTTGGTTTCTGGTAGGTTTTGAAACACTTGTTGTGTTTTTGTTCTCTAGACACTTTTTAAAGTAGGTAACTTTAAAAATAGATTCTTACCAAATTAAAATTGAATATCTTTTATTTAGTTTAGCTTTAGTTACATGGCATTTAAGCTTGATATTTGTTACAAATCATTGAAATAGGTATCCTTGTTGAAGTCATAAATTAGTGGTATACTTGTAAAATAAGGAAATAATTTCACTTGCATTTTGTCAAACTCTATACATTTTCCCAGACTTCAGGCTCAGAAAGTTAATAGAAGTTTGAAATAATTTGCATGAACTTATTTCCTTATTCAGGGGTCATCATTTCATTACAATTGCCAATTTGATGTGATATCTCACATATTGTTGAGTTTTAGTAGCAAGTCAGTTGTCAAATTTAGCAATATTTATTGTTGTTAAGGAGCCTTGTCATAGTTTAAAAAATCTGAAAAAAGCTATACACTCAAACTAAAGGTTAAATTTGAGGCAATTCAGTAGTACAGGATAAAAATGGTTTAAAGTGGCAAAGTTCCTTTTAGGCTTTAAAATCTCACTTCAAGATGTATCAACGTAAGCTTCGAAGAAATAATTGCATTGTCAAAATAAAGTATTCAATTTGTACTTTGTAGTTAAGTGATGTCATGTTTTATACTCTCATGAATTCCCCTCCCCCAGCCCTTCTTTTCTGTGTGGGCTGGCCATGCAAGCAACAACTATTCCTGGCCTTTTATCGTAACTAAAATACTTCAGAGATTCATTTGTTATTTTTAATGTCCTGTAAGGAAACATGCGACATTTTCACAAAACAAATTATTAAATTATTATAGAATCATCCTGTTTTCAATTGAGTTGTGAAAGTTAAAACCATATTGTAAAGCACAGGCAGGTTAACACACTCTATGTGTATTTAGATATGCTGTCCATGGTGCTTTTAAACATATTTTATTGTAAACAGCTGTAAAAACCATTGCAGATGACAACTAAAGAGCAGTATGATTGGTGTCATTACAAATTGGTAAGAAGTCTAAATTCTTGAGTTACAAGAAACAAACTAACGTACAGTATATCTGTTTATGAGGGGAATGTTTGTAAGATAAATCATTTTAAGCCATCAAATTTGAATATTGTTTGAGAAAGAATTGCCCACTGCTCTTTTAAAAGATCAAGATGATGCTATTAAAATCTAAGGACAGTCACACTTAGCAAAGCACTAAAACATGCAGTCATCTACCATTAATTTTGAATGCCAAGGTTTCTGCATTGCTGAAAACTAAAAGCTGTTGTATTCTTTCAATTTGTAATAGGGCAGCTGGTTTGTTGAGATGTAAAGTGTAAGTAAGCAGATAGTATCCTGAATACACTTGCACTTTTTACATGCATCCCAAGGTAATGAAAAACTGATTAAAACTTAGAAAAAACCTTGGATGCCATGTGTTTGTTCAGTTATATACCACAAATGATGTAAGATTTTAAACCTTTTACTTCAAAGATCCCATGTCACTTCAGAGAATTTGCCATTGAATCAACTAATAATACCCAAATTGATATTATACTTCATTCTAATCCCTTGTCAGCTTGACATTGTAGTGATAATGTAAGGAAATATTCTGTCTTGGTCACTTCTAGGAGTTAAAGAGTCAATGCATTAATACAAGCATATAGAGCTGTTTTGCCACATTGTTTTTCCACATTTTGGAGTCAATAGTGATCTATAACTGAACATAGAATATGTCACATGAATTCTGTTGCACAAAATGGTTTTAATGAAATGTTTGCAACATTCAATGTTCTACTGCTGTAAGTAGCAGAAAATATATTCTGTTCATGTTCATTACAGTATCCTCATAGTTAGCAATTCCCTGCATTGGCTTGTTTAATTACCAGTCTTGGAGAGCCTTGTAAGTTTCTTCATTGGTGGTGCAGCTTGCTCGAGAAGATCTCCAGCTGTAGTTTGCACATTTTCCTCTTTAGATGATGTGTGCTTTCTCTTTCCATGATTCTTAGGGCTTTCCCTTGTTGCCTCTTTACTTGCCATTATACTTAGATTACTTAGTAAATTGTCAACTCTGCCAGGTTTTGGCATTCTTGTGTCTGCTTGCTTGGACAGACACACTGTTGTCAGGTTGTTTTCAGTCTTGGTTCCAATCCTTGCACGCAATTTATACAGCTGAGTGACTTTGTAGACATCATTGCGTTCCCTGGCTGTCATAGGCTGCAACTCACATTCCTGTTGTGATGCATCATCTACAAACATGGAGATTTGGGAGTTGATGTTGATCAGAAAACTCATATCGCCTAGTGGTTCATCATTGTCCTCGCTGGTTGTGGACTCTCTCCTGGAGGATTTCTCTTTGGAGCTTGTTACCTCACAAGCAGTGGAGGTCCCTGGTTTCTTTTCAATGCTTTCTGCTTTTGCTTCAGATTGGGATTCTATTTCATCATCTCCAGGTCCAAGTGCCACACCATCAGAGACTGACTTTGACTTTTTGGTAAAAGAGGGCTTATTTCTTTGCAACTTTTCTTTTACTGTTGACCTCCTGCTTTTCTTCTCTTTTGATTTCTTTCTAGCTGTTGCAGGAAAAATGACCTCTCCAGGGCTTTCTACTTGAAAAACTTCTTCTGATTCATCTTTAAAAACTGATCTCCCCTTTCCTTTCTTAAAATTTTTACTGTCTGCCTGGTGGTTGATATTACTTGTGAGAGCTTCAGCCTCCTTGATAGAATTTTCCAACAATGCCGGACTTCCCTCCTTCTTTTTGCCTTTTTTGGAGATGTCCTTCAACTTTACCTCGCATTCCAGTACCACAGCTTCGGATTCCTCCCCAGCCACAACATCTTCATTTTCCTTTTCCTCAGCAATCTTTGAAGGTAGGTTCAGATTGTGTGACCTTTCAACATCATCAGTGTCATCTGTCTTCTTTGGTAACAATTTCTCAGAGCATTTATTCAAATTACCTTTCTTAGCTTCTGTTGAAACATTTGACATTTGCTGTTCAGGAGGTTCACTCAAAACACCATCACATACTGAAACAACTTTGCTATTTGTACTGTTAGGCTCAAAAAGATTCGGATCACTGTATTTGTAATCGGTGTAATTGTCAGTTCTAGACAAATGACAGTCGTCTGCTTCTGCGTTTCCATCATTTTCTCTTGAGTTTGACTTACTCCTGCAGAATTAAAATAACATAACTCATTGAATTAATCCAAAGTTTTGTAACTTTTAAAGAATGGTGCAAATGGTTTAAAATTTTTATTATAAAATGGATAATCATTTTTAAAGAGATCATTTTTTTTCTTCACTCATCGACAATCATAAATGGAAAAAGGAGCTGATCAATGGTAAACTTCATGGAATGTTCACAACAGATACCCAAGTAAGTGTACCCTCAGAGCTAACTGCAGTTACCATAATATAATTGATTGTCATCACTTGTCTGCTTGTTGTATTGATATGTTAAGGAAAAATTCTGTCTCAGTCACTGACATGGGAGTGAAAGGGTGAAAGTATCACCCTTGAATCAAATTAAAAGGTCATGAGAATAATGGCAATGATCACCAATTTAAGAAACTCTGGATTCTCAAACAAATTCTCATTGTCATTACCACAGGAAATGTAAAGAGATGAGTGTGGAGAATGTGAATGCTAATGTTGCTGTGTGTAAAGAGTAGAAAGAGTAGTCATACAGTGAACACCCGCATATAAGAACACATGATTTTGGATGCCAGGCTGATCAGGTTCTTATTTATCGGGTGCTTAGTGAAAAATCAGCCTGAAGGTGTCCTTAAATTGTTCTTACATTTTGTTGTTGGAATTCAGAACTGTAACAATGCAAAAAAATGCTTGAGATTAAATTAGCATTTTTAATGGGAAGAAAATTAATAAAAATCGTGACATTATTGTAACAATTAGCCTGCAAAAGAAAATCAGCCTTATTACTAGTTAACTAGTGAACAGAACAAGAAAATACATCTAACATGAAGGGCATGTTAATGTCTTATCCATTTTACAAGAACATTTTATATTTCCAGGCTGATTTTGTTCTTATAAATATGGTGCTTTATTTGCAAAATTTCAGCCTGATGTTCTTAATCCATTTGTTCTTATATGCGGGTGTTTACTGTATTTGACCCATAATGATGAAATAATTATAGTGATCTTACCAAAGGAGATTCTCGTCATAAGCAGTTTCAGTGGTTTCTCCATAACCAATATAATTGCCGTTTTCTTTACTGTGACTCTCAACCTCTTCCAGATGTTTAACTCGTTCCTTCAGGCAAGCTATTTCAATCTCAAAGTTGCTTCTCTGGGAATCAAAATGTTTTTCAAGCTGTTTTACTTCTGTGAAATAAATTAACCAAAAAAGAAAACTCTCTTTTTAATTCACAAGTGTTAGACTTGTTTCAGGAGTGATCCGTGACGGGAGTACTCATTTAAAGTATTTAAGTGTTGAAAATAGCTTCTAAAACTTCTCCTTCACAATGCTTTTAAAGTCAATCCCAGAAGCTTCTTCTACTTCACGCCTTACACGATCCGGCTTTAACAGGTGATCCTCCAATAAAGGTAACCTCAACAGGTGTCTCGTATTACCCCATGTAAAGCTTCTCTATCGCTATTTTCCCCACGGAATAGAAAACTAATATATCAAAATTGCGGTTTGAATTTTCATTTCCAAGCGGAAAGATTGATGGAAAGCTAAAATGATCAAAGTTGGAACAGCAAAACGTCTGTGACCTCGGAATGTCTGTACTAGTGGATTGTTTTGAAGAACTTAATGGAAAATGGAAGGAAGCGAAATTTTTCGACCGTAGGTGAAGAAATAAATAAGCTAAGTCCGTTTTCTTACCACAGAAAGCCAAACGAATCAGGCTTTGTAATTCTTCGCATACTGTGATCAATCCTCCCGTTTGGCACTCAACGCTCCCTTTCAATCGACAAATCGATACAGCTGAGGCCAGAAGCTTTTCAGAATTCTGAAAAACATCTCGGCAAGTATTTTCGTTCTTTCTTATTGGCGTGGAAAACGGAGTTTTCCAAGAGGAAAGAATGCTTTCATTTGCTGCCATTTTTCAGATTGCGCGCCCTTTGTATTGTCAGATGCAATCCGCTGGCGGTTTGGCCCAAGGCGGCTCACAAATGCTTCGAAAATCACATTAGTGCGAGAACTGATGATCAGTATTGATAGGAACAATGGTGTCCTTATTCCACATAGATCCTTCATTCACTGGCTATGGAAAAAGTGGAGTTCGCTTTCTCAAGATCAAACGCAGTGGAAAATACCACGAGATTAAGCAGGTAGAAGTTGCAACAGAGCTGAAATTGGATGACTACCGAGACTACAATTATGGAAACAATTCGAGCGTGGTACCAACAGATACTCAGAAAAACACAGTCTATGCATTAGCAAAAGATCATCCGGTGAGAGTAACTTCATTTTATGTCTGCATCATAGACTTTAAGACGTAAGGCAAACCTTTATGAAATTGGTGGCGGTTTTTCTCTGTTTTTATTTTCGCTTAATCTCTATGTTTTTTTATAGATATAGTTCACGTCATAGAAAGTGCGGCGTACATATATCTTATTAGACGTTTTGTTGTGTCCTATGGCTGAGTATTTTTACGAGTTGTGCCGAATTTTGACGAGCCCATAATATAGGGCGAGTCAAAATACAAATAACGAGTAAAAATACTCAGCGATACTACACAACAAAATGTCGATATAATAAGTTATTTATTATGCAACACGCCAAACTGTTATTTCAGTGCGGGCGAATTTCGCGGATTTTATTTACGGGGAGTGCGTGACAGAAGTATGCGAAGCGGAACGAAATTGGCGCGTTGTTGTGCCGCTGTTTCTATTTTCTTCATTAATGAAGAAATTTTCTGGTCGTCAAGCTGCTTCTCTTCGTTCGATTCATCTAATGAACTTGGACCTATATTTTCCAGCCATTTTGACTCTTCGTCGTCGGAAATATGATTCAAATAGTCCGCCACTTGCTTTTTTTTTTGTTCCTTCGCTTGCGCGATGCGAGACAACCTGTTTAACCGGTACTACAATAGACGAGTACAAATACAGCGTGATATTTGTACTTGTCTATGGCGTTATTTGTACTCGTCTGGGTGTAGTTGGATAACAAGGGGTTTTATTCATGAGTTGTTTGTGTCAAAAACCCGAACGAGCGAGGTACGAGCGAGTCATACATACATACATACATAAACTTTATTTCCATTCGGATTTATGAATAGCACTAGATGTGCTAGTTAATCTCCGAACATATAACTACAAAACAAATGACAATAAGTTTAAAATCGAAAGACTCCTTTAAAACCTCATATAAAATTGCTAATAATTATCTACTAATCACCTCTAGATATATAACTCCTAATGGCGCGTTTAAAGTGGCTAGAGTGTCCGACATTCTTAATTCATCTGATAAGCTATTCCATGCAGAGGCAGCAAGATACCTGAAAGAGTGAAGTCCAAAAGTTGTGGTCTTCACCGCTGGTATCTGTAATTTCCTTTTACCCCTTAAATCATATGCACTTTGACTGCGCTCTTTGAGAAGTGATGTGATATACCCAGGAGCCATGTTGTAAAGGCCTTTGTAAACCATAGTTAATATGTCCTGGACTCTTTTATCTTTTAGTGATACCATATCAAGCCTGTTCAGTAAAGCTGAATACGAACTTGATCTGTCTCCGAGGACTAGGTGAAGCACTCGCTTATTAACTATCTCTAGCTTATTAGAACTCCGTGCTCCACAATAATGCTATAGTCAGCACTACAGTACTAAAAGATAGGTTGTATGAATGCCTTGTATAAATGCCTTGTATAAATGCCTTGTATAAATGTAACCGTATGGATCCAGAGAGAAGATTTCCAAAACGACCAATGACCCTAGACTGGTTATTGACCCTATCGCATATATGGGATACATGCTTCGAAAAACTAATATTTGAGTCAATGTTAATTCCTAGTAGACCTATATCATCATGCTGCTCAATTCTCACCCCATCAACTATAAATGAAAAATTAAGATCAGTTTCTCCGAGTATGAGAGAATAAAATTTACTTGGATTGGCCATAAGACCGTTATTCTTAAACCAATCGACAGCAATCGATAGTTCACTATTCATCCTATCATACAGGGCAAGGTGATCTGTATGTGAGCTATATAATTGCTGATCATCAGCGTATGCATTAAGCTTAAGCTTTGTAATACAATAGAAAATATCATTTAAGAATATGTTAAAAAGTAAGGGTCCCAGGACACTTCCCTGGTGCACACCTGTAATTATGCTCCCACGTGGAAAACTCATTGCCAATTTTTACCCTCTGTCGCCTATGCTGAAAGTAGTCATTAAATAAAGCACAACCCTGTGTATCTAAGCCATACGCTCGCAATTCAGCAATGAGAAGATCGCGGGGAGGCTATCAAAAGCCTTTGATAAGTCCATTATTACAACAGCTACAAGCTGCTGGCGATCCAGACATTCCTTCCAGTCCTCAACAAGGCCTAACAGCGTCATATTGCAGCTATAAAACCACCTGTAGGCTGAGAGAAAATCAGAGAGTAGGCCCTGGAAATGTCCATGGAGTAACTGAGATGAAAGGAGCCTGTCAGAGATGTTGTTTAAGGCTGGGAGAACCGTGACAGGTCAAAAACACTGCTTATTCATATCCTCCTCAGTATATTTTGGTAGCAGAGTGACTTGTCCCATTTTCCATACTGACGAATACTTACACTGGATCATAGATGAATTAAAAATCGGTCAGTACAAAATGCAGACTGCAGACTGCAGATTGCAGACTGCAGACTGGGTATAAAATGCAGACTAGGTATAAAATGCAGACTGCAGGCTGCAGACTGGGTATAAAATGCAGACTGAGACCAAAATTAGGTATAAAATGCAGACTATGCGAGAGCAATGTTTTTTTTAACGTACCTCAGTGTCACGCAATCGCCTTCCTGAGTTTAGCAGCCGCTAAAAGTTTCCTTCTGGGCGCTTATAAAACAGAGTACAGTACAGTGAAGTAACAGCCTGAGGTAGCTTCATAAGATATGTCCATAAATTGATGCTTTTTCATCGAAAGAACAACATGTTTCCCTTCGAGTTCATAAACTAAAACGGTACAGTGAAGTACAGTACAGTGAAGTAGCAGCCTGAGGTAGCTTCATAAGATATGTCCATAAATTGATGCTTTTTCATCGAAAGAACAACATGTTTCCCTTCGAGTTCATAAACTAAAACGGGAC